CAAGCATCGAAAATGGAGACAAATGCTTCTCAATAAACAGGTTGACAGGGTTGCGCACGTCGCGTTGCTTTCGGCGATGGTGTGGCAGTGATCAGAGTTGGCCATGGTGCACGGTGACTCGAATCTGGACTCACCGAAAAATGTGCACAATATACTTCCCTACGCCTGCCGAACAAAAACGTCGATGTGCAAATATGCAAATCGTGCGAATTTAGAAATTGTCACGTTCTCCATGACATAATGTGGACTGGTTGTGCCGAACATATTCCCAAACCCTCTGCCCCAATCAGATGCGCCCGACGCAGTCTTTTCCTTCCGACTGCGCTTATTCAGGTATTTTGTGCAGCGGTGTTTCCAAGACAGGCTAAAGTATCGTTTGTTCGCCGTGCCCGCCATTGTGTACTTCTTGTTTCATTGTAAGGTAAGAAACATGTCGTCCTGAGGCTGCGAGGCGAAAGCGTGCAGGCTGTCACAGATGAGTGAGAGACAGATGCTGCACTTTAGCTGTCGTCTATTTTCGGACCTTTTTGTGTATCTTGAATTTGTGCAATTTTCTAGTTCTGCGCGCGCCGTCGCGGCGTGATAATAGTGGACACGCAACGGACTACAACGCAAGTGCAAGTCCTTTTCGAGGCAGACTGCCAGTGAGGCGAGTATTTTGCGTGACCTGCGACTACTTCTACCGGGACCCGCCCGCCATCCGCCTAGACCTTTCCTTTCCCGTTCCTAATCCCCCCTTTTGCTCTTTCCTGGTTACTTTCACATCCCATTCGTTTCGTTTACCCACTCCCTTACAACAAACATACTTCCTCCACAGATAGAATACACCCTGGACCCAAGAGTGACTTGTGCCGCAAGTATCTCACATCGCAACCACCAAAGCCCCAGTCCAGCTTCACCAGACAGCCAAGTTCCTTCTCAGCCCTGTGGTGCTTGCTTCCGACCCCCTGTGGACAACCGGCGACAAGGAACACGCACCGATGAGCTACAACTGTGTTTACACTTTCCCACTGATCACCACTTTTTTTTTTTGGCTTTCCCTCTTGCTTCTTTTCTTCCTTTTTTGTTCTTCAGCGCCTTTGGCCTGGACTTTCTTAGTTTCACTCTCTCGCAGCGTCGGCTTCTGCAGCAGCGATAGAGGCGAAACACACGACGATCTACAACGCAAGGGTCAAGTAAAGCCCTCCACACCCGGCCCAGCGATCTCGTTGTCAAGAAACATTCAGAGTATACGTCGCACGGAACGCAAGACTGCGATCTGCAAGAAACAGTTGCCACAGGGTAAGTTCGTTCTTTCCACTCGTCGTGTGCATGGTTCTACACTGCAATTGTACATCGTATTGCTGTTTCCTTTTTGGTGCTGAGTGCAGGTTTTGCACTTGCCTCGGAGCAGCAAAAAAGGTGAAAGAACAAGGCAGGATGCCATGAGCCAGAGCCCATTCCTCCTGCTTGGGGGGGCGTGTGAATTTGTTTCCGACGGGGCATGTGGCTCACACCCCCAGGAAAAAGTCTTTCTTCCCCCTCTCTGGGCCACGCATTCTCTTTGGTCAACTCTTATTCGGCCACCTCTACCGAAGTAGCAACCTAGGTGCAGCGGAACAGACGCGCTTTTTGTTTACCAGCGCCTAACAGCCACTTATCGCCTGTCGCTCCTTCCTTTTCTTTTGTTCTTTTAGTATCTTCTTTCTTTCCCTGTCGAAAAGTTAACACACTTAAAGACGAGGGGAAACGAGAACAGCAGTTAACCTTTGTTTCGCTCTCTCTCTCTGGACCGCGCGCTCTCTGCCCTTCCTTTTTCCCCAACAGACCAAAACAGGTCTGGCCTCCACTCTCTGCGTTTTTTTTTGTGTTATTTTTGGGCTTCCTTCACCTTCTCCCCCCCCCCCCCCCTGTTCTCTTTTTCCACCACAACATCAAAAACTCCAAACAGAGCTTCAATTGCCAATCGACGACCAACTAACAAAAGGACGCGCAGCGACGACACAAAAGGACGATTCTCTGCAGCTCACGGCATTGTCATCAATCGACTACACTCCCATTGTTGCTCGCCTCGACCGACGCCTTACGCCCATCCACTGCCGCAAACGCGACCAAGCTCGTCTTGGTTTCCCCAAGTAACCAACCTGCCCTAGAGCTCCCGAAGCTCTTTTTAGGTGCATCGTTGTCGCCAGTTTGTGCGACACCCCCCGTCACACGTACGTCGTCCGGCACTTTTGCCTTCTTTTTAATGGTTTTCTTCTCTCTTCCTTCTTCGACGTTCCCTTTGGTCCCTAGCCTCGCTCCTTCTCTCACATACGTGCACTTCCCCTCCTCGCGCTCATTAAGCTCTTCCCCGTCGCTATTTCCCCTCAGTTCTCGCGCCAGGCCCCGTTGCTCTCTTTTGCTGTGGGCTGCGCGCCCATGTCGCGCGAAAAAGCACGCTAGCAAGCGTTGACCGCCACGGCAACCTGCATCACCCAGCTTCCTGAGTGCTGCAGGGAGCCTGCTTGTGGTCGACAGCGCTCTCCAGCCTGTCAATTCCCCGACCTCCCCCCCTTCCCCTCGTCCCTGTTCTCCTAGCGTCGCCGCCGTCCCCCAATCCCCATCGCTAAGCACGTCCTGTCGCTGTCTAGCCGGCTGGCTTCGACCTGGCCTCCGCCCTGTTCTTGCCTGTCCCAGTAGCATTACCCTGTCCTCTTTGACGCCTTTTTTCGAGCCAACCGCACAAATTCGCACCGGTCGATTGCTCCGTAACTGGCTGGTAAGCAAAGAACCGTGAGTGGAGATGAGAAGAAATCGATAAGACAGCGAAGAGCAAAAAAAAAAAAAAAAAAGAAAAAGAGAGAGAGAGAGAGAATCACCAGAAGCAGCCAAAAGAGGTACACAGTGTCCAGGAGACAATTCCCAAGTGAAGGCGACGAGAAAACTGGAAGAGGACAGGCAAAAGCGCAATCTGGACCGCCCTTCCCTCTTTACCCCATCTAAATACTCGGTGGCGAAAAACAAGGAAGCTGCGTGCTTTGCTCCTTTGTACAGAATAAAGTTCTGTCTTTCAATCGTGCCCACGCAAGCGCGCCATTCCCAGCACCCGCAACCAACTACCAAAATCGACGTACGCCCATCTGTGCTATCTTCCCATCGATTTTTATTTTGTTTTTGAGCTTTTTTTACCTATCTATCTCATACTTGGATCTTGCCGCCTGGCTGTTTCTTCTGTCCCATCTACTTTCCCCTCCCTGCCAAATACAACAAGAGACACAAAACAAAACAAACTGCAATCCCGGTCGCAACTTCCCCATCCTGTCTTTTCTCCTCGCGCATGCGACACTTTTGCACGCAAAACATCCTACCCGGTCCAACGCAACTACCAATTCGCGAAGAACCAACACGCGCCTTCCATTCTTTCTCGGAATTTCGCTCCTTGGTCTCTAACATCTGGCTTGACTTTGCCGCTCTTTTTAGGCCATGGAACAGTGGCAGGTCGGCCCTCTGCCGGATTACATCTACGGCAATTCTGCCAGCCACCCAAACGACGTACAGTGAGTACCCGTTTTGCTTGTACCCTCTTCGTGTCCCCTCCCTCCTGTGCTCAACCCCCCCCCTTCCCTCGGTTGTCGCCTGTATCGTTTCCCACCGGCTGCCCCTTCCAGGAGATAATCAAAACAACAAGCAGCAAGACAAGCCAGGAAGATTCAAGCAAGCACGAGAAAGCGTCCAAACAACAAGATACAGCGAAAACTATTGTCGCGGAGAATGAGACGAACCCCTCAAATACACCTTCGTTGTTCATACACTTCCGCGTCCCCACATCAACAGCCCAACAGTAATCCTCGCGACAGCACAGAGCCAAAATGCTCCACACACGGACATTTTAAGCAAATCTTCCCGACGACACCTCTCCCTCCATACATTAGGCCGCGATCAGGAGACTTTCTCCGGTACGACGAGCATAGTCCGATAAAGCAGCCTCGCCTTGCCGAAATGGTTACTCGAGCTCGCCACGCGTAGCGTCACGGCCACAGAGCTTCAACGACAGGTCCTATCCAATACAACAAGTACCTCAGAATGCAGTGCATCGATGCAAGACCATTGCGCATATGTCAACCTGCATCGGCATTGTTCTCTGCGTCCTACTTGAAACCGACCGACTCGCCTCGTCCGTCGTTTTGTGCCCGTCACCGCGTGGCGTTACCTCGCGAAGTCAAAGTCATTCGACCGCAAGAACACGGCGTGCACTTTCTATGGTCCACACATTTTGTTTGTTGCCATACGTTGTCGTCGACGGCTTAACGTCATTTCTTTGAATCCGAACTCCAGACACACCGGATCGTACTTTCACTGCCCAATATTTACGACTCTCGCTTGTCTCTACCGCACCGATAAGCCGTCGTCCCTTGGCCTTGCACTCACCTTGTATATTGTCCCTCGCTCATCATATCGTCGTCACTCTACTTCATCGCCTACTCGCCTGTCTCATGGTGTTTTGCTTTTGTCCGCTACCTTGCCGCTTATCCGCCGATTCTCTTGTCCCTCGCTTTAACAGCACTCCAATATCCGACCTGCGCAACAGTGACAAGAGCAAATGCGTTGGCTACCTCTATTGCACAAACAAACCTTGCGTCTCGTTTATATCACCCGGAGCTCGCTTTGTGCTTCATTTGTTTTGCAACTCGACCATCACCTGCTCCATCTTGCCAATGGATAATGCTCCCTTTGGACAACCGTGGGCGCAGCAGCCCGGAGGCTTACCGGCTTCGCGCGAGCAGCGTAGAACAAAAAGGCAGACGTTGCAACAGGAGCAGCCGCTGCTACTGCAGCAGCATGGCGAACCTCAATGGCAGCAATCCGCTGCGTCGTCCAGCCACCCCAAGCTACCCGATACCCCTTCACCAACACCATTTTCCTCGATGTCTCCCTCGATATCACCCACGCCAGGGAGAATGTTGGACCGGCCGGCACCTCTCCACTCCATGCATTATCCTCTGAGCTCTGACTCAAGCCATACTAACGACTTATCTCTTATGTTTAGCGCACAACACCAGTACCAGCAACATTTAAACACCCGTCGCAATGACCAACCCATTGACTTCCGCTACGGCCAGCAGCCGCCCCAGGCCCCAGGCCAGCAACACCATACTGGTCCAGGCCAGCCGCCGTTGAACGTGCAGCCGCAGCATAGCGCACCTCATGCCGCCCATCCTGGCCAGCAGCACCAGCAGCAACCTCCACAGTCGCAACAGCCTCAGCAGCATCAACAAGCCCCGCCGCCCTCGCAACAGCAGCCAGCCACTGCGGCGGTCCCGGCCCCGGCACCGACACCGGTGGCACAGCGCGCACGTAAGCGGCCGAATCCGGCTACGGCACAGCCTCCGTCTGCCGCGGCTTCCGCGACCTCGGCCTCTCCCATCATTCCTCCCCCGATCCCCACACCGACTGTCCCTAACAATACAGTGTCTGCGGTTCCGCCTCCGGCCATTCCTGCGGGCGCACCCTTGACAAAGCCCCCCACGCCCGCTTCGGCATCAGCTACCGGAACGCCTATCAAGTTTGCGGCCCAGGCCGAACCTGGAAGTGTTCCGACACCGCCAGCAAAGAAAAGTCGCACAAACACGCCCTGGACACCAGCGGAGGAGCATCGGCTCAAGCAAATGCGTGATGCGGGGAGCTCGTGGGCAGAAATTGCCAAGGTCAGTCTAGCTGCACGACAGCACAAATGTGTGACGTTGAGGACAAAACTAACTCAGGTTCCTCCGACTAGACATTTCCGACACGTACAGAAGGCAGTGTCAAGAAGCACTGGTACAAGGTACGCGCCCTCTACCTCTACTTCTCTTTCTTTGTACAACTACATCGAGATAAATTTGAGAGTACCTGCTAACCCACACAAGGATATGCACTACGCAGAATTCGCCGAGGACGAAAGCCAAGCGCTTCTGAATGCTATCAAGGAGTACGAGAATCAAAAGTGGAAGGTGATCGGCCAGAAGGTTGGCAAGCCCGCCAAGGTCAGTCATTTATATCCTCCGCGTCGCGACTGCAGGGCCTCGCCTAGTCTGTCAATATCGAGATGCATGCTGACTCCGAATACGTTCAGGCTTGCGAACAATACGCCAAAGAGCACTTTGCCGACCAGATTCTCTCCGCGGGAAAGAGGTAGGATGTCCTGCAAAACAGTTACATAAGAACGGGCGACGGACTCTTTTGGCTCCAATTGGTTCAGTACCATCCGTCGTACTGCGTCGGTGTGCGGCTTGGTATACCCCGGCCGGTCCTCAAAACGACTCCACTTTGATTGTCCTACTCGCATATGCGCAAGCAAAATGTGGAAAGGGACCCGCATCAAAGTAACAACGACAAAGAACGAGTTTGGTCACTGATCTGATCCAGAGTGAGCCTTCTCCCTTCGTTTTCTACTCCTTATACCACATTGTCACAAACGTTTTTGTGTGATGACGGGAGATGCATCTTGACACGCAGTAGGATTGTTGTTGGGTCAGGTGCTCTTCTTGCCACTCTCGTCCTTTCTGGGCTGCATCTGCCGCCTTTGGCCCATTCTTGTTTCTCCCATTTTCCTTTCTTTTGTCTGCCTTTTCTTCTTATATTTCTTCTTATATTTCTATGTCTTTCCTTGCTCTTGCTTGGATTGGGCTATTTCCCCTGCCGCTTAGGGTACCCTCACCGTCGGTTCCCTTTTACCCTGCTTCTTTTCTGTCTTTATATTTCTTATTGTTTGTCTTATCTTGCCACTCTTTTGTCCTAGTCTCTCGGCCGAGAGACCACAGGGGCCACGGTCTGGTATTTGCTTTGAGTTTTCTTTGTTCGGTCTGATTTTCGTGTCTCGGGTAGGTCTCCAGGAAATTTTTTGTGGCGGCGAAGGAAAAACAACTAGGGCAAATACTGTTTCTCTTCTATAACCCTTTGTTTAGGTATAATTTGTTTTCTTGCTTTTTGTCGTCTACCTTAGCTCGGTTTGAGGTTTGCGTTTGGCTCGCGCCTGGATCGCTGCTTTTCAACTACGAATTGAGTTGCATACCTATCCAAATACGGAGCAACACAACTAGCGACTGAAATTCGATTTTTATTTGTCGCGCCAAAAACTAAAGGCACCGTCGCGATGTATAGTCGTAAATTTGCTATGTTCTGCATTACAAAGACGTAAAAGTGCCATGTCATCCCTTCATTGCGCGATGCTGTCAACTGGGTACATCCTCGATAGTATTTGCAATGTTCCTCGTAACCACGGCGGGAGGGGCCGCAAACGGTTGCGTCCACCAGGGGAAAGGGTGATATGAAAGGGCCTACTTGCGGGGAATTATCAACGATGGTTGTGAGTGCAATATACAAACTACAAAATACTGCAAAATACATTGATACGTAGTAGAGCTGTTTTGGTTAATGTGAATCTTGTGTACCCGGCTTTAGTTTCGTTAGGGGCAGTACGTAGCGGACCACGCACATAGCGTATCGATTGGTGCAACATGTACGCCGTAATACATAGCGAGTCTATTCCCTTTTGAAACGGAAAAAGGAGACAAAAAGAGAGCTTGAGGGGGCCATTTTGGCCTGTAGATTCTACAAAGGACAAAGGATGACGCGGTTTCACTAAATCGATGTTCTAGGTTCATTTAGTGGCATGCGTTGATACATATGTATAAGTTAAAAAAAATCAATAAAGCAACACTCTCCGAGATGTTATCCGCATTCAGATCCTTCATCATTTAATGAGACACATCGTCAACGCTCATGGGAGACCATGAAAGACGAGCCGTTCTCAGTTCCGTTGCGCCTTATGATTCATGTTTTGGAACAAGATAGTTAGGAGATAAAGGATGAGCAGCGAAGGGCATGGATTCACCGACCCGGTGAGCAAAAACCAGGCTGAATAGTCCCATTCATTGCGGCCTTAACATAACAGCAATATACAAACGCCGGCCATATGGTCGTTGCATTTGGCCGTCCTACTTAGGCTATATTGCCATCGACACGGAGGGACAGTGCCGTGTTCATGCGATGTAAAGAAAGAATTTTGTTGCGTTCAGTTTCTGAAGCAGGATCAGAGCTGGTAACAACAGCAATCGTGACAGGGCCTCGCCATTTGACAGCCATTTAGATTTGCCAGCTAAGCACGACCGGTAGTTGATGGGAAGAGTTTTTTCCTTGATATTTTATTTGCCATGAAAGCTGTAATAAAGTGCGGCGCCTCTCCTGTGATGTGAGACAACTGGATCAGAGAGGGCAGTTGAGGGCAAACAAACAATCAACAAACAAGTAGGAAATTACTATGGGAAGAGTCGGGTTCAACCTCTTCCTTTACTTTCACGCTAACACTTTAGTTCTGAAAGTTCTGGAGGTAAGTCAATATGTGCCCGTTGAATCGCCTTGCGGCGTTTCGCAAACAAGAGTTGAAAGCTCCCATTCTGTTTGGCGCGCGACACATGAACGCACAAAGTTGGTGATTTTGGCGTTGTGGCGTTGTGGCGTGTTCTGGGCGTTCTTGGCGCACTGCACCTCCCTTGCATTGGTTTCGATCAACGCTGCAGAACGTTACGTTTGGCACTGTGGCTTGAGCCTGGAAAACGACGCTTGACTCGCCCGGTTTGCCCGTTCCTTTTCGTCTTCTTTTTTCCCGGATGGGGGCGCGTCCTGCAAGGGCGATCAGCAAAACAGAACAGACTGGGGTATGTTGTACTCTGGATTGCTCTGTGTCCCTGATCTGCCGTCAGATGCATTGATCGCGAGATGAACTGAAAATAAGGCATACCATAATAAAACAAAACGAATAAAAAACAGAGCGACCCTCAACAGCGAAAGAAGAGGTCAATCTGAAGCTCGACAGAAAGACGTGGAAATGAACAGATTCCTGACGCGGCGTGATGTGCAGGACCCTTCTTGGACCATCAGGTTGCTGCATCGTTTTCTTGCCCCTTCATGATGGACCTGTCTCGCGCTGACTGCCAAGGTCACTCTGTCCTTTGCATGCGGTTTTCCATCTGCATACAACTGCATCGTGGCTGTGGCGAATCGGCTGGACGGTGCTATCCAATTCCAGACAGTGTTGCAAACACTGTGGGCTGGGCTTGCTTGCAGGGCCGCTCCTTTCGAGAGTCCAGGAGTAAATTACGCAGCCTGAGTCTGTGCCTCACTGGGTTTTCCGCTTTTGTAGGACAGACGTCTGCATGTCCAGCTGCTGCGCACGACTACCGGCCGCTGTCCTATCTAAAAAGGGGCTCTCTGCTCTGCAAGACGCGCGATCCAGGGGATCTGACGGTACTCAACAACCAGACAGCGACCGAGAGAACAGTGCAAACCTCCAGTTCTTTGCAAGCTTGGAGGAAAACGCGACAAGACGCGCCTGCACAGCGGTCGTAGCTGCTGGAAGAAATGGGGGCCGGAAAGAAAATGAAAATAATATCAAGCCCGAAATGGACCAAGAAAATAACGGCGCCTACCAATACGAGAACCTCACGCAGGAAAAACTGGGCCGCAACACCCTCACCAATGTCCGTGCTCCCACCAAGGCGTGACTGATCGTCCTTCCACTTCTCCTCGCCCTCGCTCGCGTTTCTGATGTGCTGGTTCTCTCCCTCGGCCATGTTTGCCTCTTTCTTTTTGGCAGGACCAAACGACTTCTTGTTCTTGCATTTTACTCGTAAAATCAGAGAGTAGCTACCCCCTGGAGTCGTTCGAAAACGTCGCTGTAGGTAATGTTTCCAGGCCTGTCTCGTCACGCCAGTCCAGTCCATGTTGGGACTAGCTCTGTACTTGACTACTTTTCCGCGCTCAGAAACCGCCCAAACTCTGTGCCATGTTCCGTGCTTGTTCAATTGCGCCCTTGTTCTTGCCTGTATCTGGTCATGGTCCGCCTTCTCCTATTAAAATTCAAGGTCTTGGCAACCGCCCCAGGCTATGTCTGTTTTCCCTCTCCTCTTCTTCCTCCTCTCTCTTTTCGTCCAGCGGAAGCCTTCTCCGAATAGCCTCTTTTTTGCTCTTCTGTCTTTGACTTCGTTTTCGTCCCTCGTTGCTCCCTCCGTTTGTGTCCCGCTTATTGTCTCTCTTCGTGACACTCGCTAAACGCGAAAAGAGTCTTGTTGACATCACACGTCGGCTTTTTGGTTGTGGTGGCGCTTCACATAATATTCGCTTCGTTTCGTTCTTTTCTGTTCTTACACTTCTTTTGCTTCTCGCCTCATCTTGTCTTCGCTTCGCCGACGCTCGCGCCACGGGCTATTCATTCGCTCACGAATCTACCGACCTTATTTCCCACCCCTTCTTAGTCTCTCGTTTGTCTCTGGCATCGTCTCGTATCGACGACGCGACCGGCCCCATTCCACCAATACTTGCTTTTAATACTCCTTTAAATCTTCGACACCTTTCCCCTCGCCTTCACCATGGTCCGGTCTCTCCTCCCCATCGGCGTCGCCCTCATCGGGGCCACGAGCGTCCTTGCCGCCGGCTCAATTCCCACCTGCTCGCTCACCCAGAAGTGCCCGGAGTCGGCGCCGTGCTGCTCACGTAAGTTTCGCATCGACAACCAGCTTATCGATGTTTATTTTTTGAAACTTTCTGCTTTGTGCCCTAAGCTGGGTGGTTGTGCAACCCACGATTGGCGTCACTACTTTGGGATCTTGTCTGGCCGCCCGCTTCCTGCTGTGTTCCCCATCCCATCGACTTATCCCCTGCCGCTGTCACATGGCGCATTGTCGCACCGCATTGTGGCGTGAAAGTCTATCCCTCCGGGACATGTTGACCTTGTCTGCTAACTCCACTAGAATACGGCCAATGTGGTGTAGGTGCGTACTGCCTCGGCGGCTGCGACCCTCGCATGTCCTTCTCGCTGGACTCGTGCGCACCTGAGCCTCAGTGCATCAGTCGTGTCATGAAGATGAACAGCCTCGACCGCATCGTCGACGTTTCCGAATACCTCGGCGACTCGTCCAAGGCCGACTGGGTCGCCCAGGGTACCCCGCTTGTCTACAACAACGAGGCTGTACTGCTTACTATGCCCGCCAACTCCGTCGGCACTGTCCTCTCCTCCACCGGCTACATGTGGTACGGCAATGTCAAGGCCACCTTCAAGACGTCGCGTGGTGCTGGTGTCGTCACCGCCTTCATTCTGCTCAGTGATGTCAAGGACGAAATCGACTACGAGTTTGTCGGCACGGAGCTGAACATTGCCCAGACCAACTACTACTTCCAGGGCATTCTGGACTGGCACAACTCGGGCAACATCTCCCTGTCCGATACATACGAGAACTACCACACCTACGAGATCCAGTGGACCCCCGACTCCATCACCTGGCTTGTCGATGGCCAGGTCGGTCGTGTTCAGAAGAAGTCTGACACCTGGAACGCCACTGCCAACCAGTGGAACTTCCCTCAGACTCCGTCGCGTGTTGAGCTGTCCATCTGGCCTGGCGGTGCGCCGTCCAACGCCCCCGGCACCGTCGAGTGGGCGGGTGGTCCCATTGACTGGAACTCGGCCGACATTAAGAACTACGGCTACGATTTTGCGACCTTCACCGAGGTTGAGATCCAGTGCTACAACGCTTCGTCGGCGCCCGGCACCAATAACGCCGTTTCGTACACGTACAACAACTGGCTCGCCACAAACAACACCGTTGTCAACGGTGACAAGAACCCCATCATGAAGAACTTTGAGAACACTGGCCTGGACATGACATCTGGCCCTGACGCCGGTTCGTCGTCGACCAGCAGCGCCGCCGGCAGCAAGAAGACCAACAGCAACACCGTTCCCGGCGGCACCTCGAACGGTCCGGGCAACTCCCAGGGCAACGGTGACTCGAGCTCTGGCTCTGGTTCGGGCTCGGGCTCGGGCTCGAACTCCGGCGGCTCGTCGACAGGTAGCTCCTCGGGCTGCTCGACGACCGGCTTCTCCCAAAGCTGCGACAGCGGCAACAGTGGCAACAGCGGCAGCTCGTCTAAGAGCGACGGCGGTCGCATTGTGGGCGGCGAGCGGATCATTAGCGCCAGCGCATTTGCCGTGGTCGTTGCGCTGGGTGCCATGATGGTACTGTAATTTTTGGGTTTTGCTACATGTTTTTGTTTTAATGTCTAGTTTCTAGTGGAGCCGCATCTAGTTATGTCTTACTTTTTGTTACCTTTTGTGTGCAACATTTTTCTGGGGTCTATTTAAACAATATCCTTGTCTTTTTTCGCCCTTTTGTCTTATTTGTCTTGATCATGGCTGCGTTTTCATCATGCTACTTTTTTTTTTTTTTTTTTTTTTTTTTTTTTTTTTTTTTTAACAGCCAGCACCCCATTTTACCTTATTTTCTGGTTTTCTCATTCTTCCCTTTTTGGTCCCTAAAATTGGTTCGGCTGCGATGGGTTCTTGCAAGGATTCGCAAGTGGGAGCTTGAGAACGGGGATGACTGCACCTTTGATGAAAAGACAATGGATTCACTTCTGTCTTGCAGTCAACAATTTCGAGTTGCTCACCGCGGCGCCCAGTACCGACCGAAAGAGCTAATATTTCTGGACCGCAAATATAATTCATTGGATTCAACTAATGAGCACGATTGTGAATTGCGATAATTGACTGTGCTTGCTGACCAAAGGAACTTCGCGAAGTCAAGACCAACACACCTCGAAGGGCCGCCCCGTCTAACTAGATGTATTCCGGCAAACAATATCACGCGACCTGCACCAGATCTAGAGCATCATACACCAAATCCCATCCCCTGACCTCCACCCACACTACCATTTCCATTGCCAATTCAGCTTCTTGTATGGGAAACTCCGTGTCAATCTAGGCCGTGGGGTTGCTGTTGAAGGCCAGAGCGTTGATGGTGCCGCTGGGGACACCGGTCAGCACATTCTTCTGAGCGGTGCTCTGGATGTATGCGCAGAGCGCTTGCGGAGCCTTGGGACCGAGCAGGGCCAGCAAGTAGGCACCGAGGCCGGTGATGTGTGGCGTGGCCATGGATGTTCCCGAAATGGTGTTGGTGGCTGTGGTGCTGCCGATCCAGGTGGACAGGACGTTTGTGCCGGGCGCAAAGATGTCGACGACGCTGCCGTAGTTGCTGTAGTAGGCAACATCGTCGACCGTCTCGGAGGCGGCCACAGTGCACACGGTTGGCTCGGAGGCGGGCGAGTAGTAGGAGGCGTCGTCGGCGGAGTTGCCAGCGGCGACGGCCAAGAATACACCGGCCGAGACGAGGGCGGCGGCGGCGCTGTTGACGGCGGCGCTGAAGCCGCCACCCAGGGACATGTTGGCGACTGTGCCCTTACTGCAGCCAGTGCGGGTGGCGGCGTCCTGGGCAACAAAATCTATGCCAGCAATGACACCCGAGAAGGAGCCTTGGCCGCTGCTGTCGAGGACTTTGACGGCAAACAGCTTGGTCTTCTTGGCGACACCGTACGTAGCCGAGCCAATGGTGCCGGACACGTGGGTGCCGTGGCCGTTGCCGTCGCTGTTTTGGCCATCGCCGGCATAGTTCGCGAGCCACGTGGCGCGTCCCTCGAACTCGGGGTGGCCGACATAGATGCCCGTGTCGATGACGTACGCACAGGTACCGTCGCCGGCGCTGTCGTCGTAGGTGTAGGACGTGGACGTGTTGGCTTTGTGGGAGATGCGGGCCAGGCCCCAAGGTAGCGGATTGGCCGTCTCGGTGACATAGGTGTCGATCTTGACAATGGCGTCCTGCTCAATGTAGTCGACGCCCGGGTGGTCACGCAAGTTGGCAAGGCCCTGAGAGTCCAGACGGAGCGCAAAGCCACGGAAAGAAGCACCGTCGGCCTTGTAGACGTGGTCGACTTGGGCAGAGTCGGCCGTGTCAATGGCGTCCTGCAGGGTGGCAGCGGGAATGCCGTCCTTCATCTTGACAATATACTTGCCGGGGATGAGGTTGGCATTGCGCGAGCGGATAAGGGGAGCCGGGCTGTCACGCTTGGGCAGGGCCGGAGCGGCCAGGGCCACGGACAAGAAGGAGAGGACGGCGAGCTTGTACATTGCGGAAAGCTGGGCGGTGATACGGAGCACTCTGTATAATGACAACGATATGAAAGTTGGGGGAAAGACTTGGTAGATGTGAATGAGACGGCTGCTTTGTTGATGACGAGAGGGCCAATACAATATAACCTGAGATGGGCAACGGGCATATTTATCTTTGTTTGCATCTACAGCATCTACAACTTTCGGTCTATTCTCAAGGCGATGCTATCTACATGTTGGTGTATCTTGATCTTGCGGCCGTTACGACGCAACCGACGCCATTTCTTCTACTTTTGTTATCATCGTAGCAACCTTCCGTACACGGCATGGCCGATGATGAAGGTGCTTGAGCTCTTGATGTGATTGAACAGAAGTTGATCCAGGGCGCCTGGAAAAGGAAGCTCGCGACATTACCTGGCTGAGGTCACATTGGCGATGTCGATCAGATGCAGATATGCAGAGAGAATGCTTTCGACGTACAACGAAGTAACCGTGGTAGTGAACAGTCCGGGAGGGATGTCTCAGGCCATGGGCAACGATACCAGCTTCCTGTTTGTCCTTCTTTTGTACGACGCACATATATCCTAGACAGCCTCACCGTTTCAACCCACAATCAAAGGCCTCCAGGTCTGAAAATTGCCGCAGGCACGTGGACGTACTGTTCAGGGACTGGCCCTGGGATACAGGAGAGCCAGAAAGACCTAGATTGTGGCAGGAAGCCAGTACGAACTAGATAGCATGAAGAAGAGCCTGGCTGGATGACAAGGAACAAGGGCGCGGCCGTCAACATCATCACCAGCCTTCATGGCCTCCTTCCCAATTCGGAAAGAGAATAAGGGAGCCGAGCAAGAGGCTCGTCACCAGGACCAGCCACTAGTGTTTGAGAAGACAAGCATCGCGGCTCAATAAATTGCACGCTGTTCCCTAAACCTGGTCGTGTGGCCAAGGCTGGTGGCGCAAGGGCAGACGGATAAGGTTGGTGCCGGTAAATAAGCCGAGCGGTTGGAGGGCGGCTCTATCAAGTGTTTCTTTTGATACGTATTATGTCGTAGTCTATACTTGTATCGCAGCCCACATCCAACCATGCAGACGGCAGCAATATAAAACGACCTTGGATGCCGTGCCGTGCGACAAGTGGACCGTTTGTGCTGCTTCTGCCTCTGCTGCTGCAACGACACGCTACTACTTGCTCTTCCTGGAAAGCAAACCCGACCGAGTTGTTTTTAGGTTGTCCGCGTTTGTGCTTGGCATGGCTTGGGCCTCGATGATGATGTGGATACTTGATCGGAGTGTGAGGATAGTTCCAGCACCTCGGCCAGCCTCCAGATTGCTCGCCGATTGTTTTTGCACGGATTTGCTCGGTCGTCGGTGATCATACCGGGATTCCGGCGTCTTTGATCGCTGCAACTAATCACGGGATCTGTGGTGTGTGTCTAACGCCGTAGGGCCAGAGTCCCGTCGTATTACGGTTGTCGTTTCCTTAGGGGTCGGTCAAAGTCTTGACAAAACAGGACAGGAAATAAATTGCTGCCTTTCGTCGTCGACATTTACGAGCAAGTGCTCCAAAAACGTGGTTGTACCATAATCTGACCCGAGGATTGTCGCAAAAATAAATAGGCAGCCAGTTGTGTCTGCCGTGTTACGCAGTGCTAGTACATTCGTAGGGCCTTTGGGGACCTGACCGTTACAGCCCAGGACACGCTAGAGCATTTCAGGGAGGAAGGAACAGGGCGGTTGGGCGGGGCTGGACAGGGTGTCAGTAATTTGTAAACTTCAGTGGACTCGCTAGCGCCGGGCATTTCCACCATCCGGGACTATGAGACGAGCTCGGGGATTAGAAAATCCCGAGCCAGCTCACGTCGCATACGAGGCGAGACACAGATACAGAGGAGAATGGAAGCAGCAGGACGGAACTCCAACGAGAGAAGACCAAGCGAAACATCAAGACGACACGACGACAGAAACAAGGGAGAAGGTAAGCCGGCTATCTTCAGGCAAAAGGGTTTTGCTGTGTCTGCGTCTTGGGGCATCCCTGCGTTTCGGTGTGTGTGAGGGCTACACTCTTGACAACGTCTATCTTGTTCCATCTCGTCGTCGATTTTATCCTGTGCCGGAGAATAGAGTGCATCGCCAAGACCTAAGATATTGCGTTCCTTCCTCTTCTATATATTTTCTACTCCCTTACATCCCACCTGCGTCAACGCCCGTACGACGCACCTGCCCGTTCTGGCCTACTCGTCTGGGCAGCTGCTCCCCCCGCTACTGCCAACTATGTCACAAGTCGTGCCTGTGCCTTCTCCTTTGCTGGCGTCCTTGCCGTCGGCCGTGCCTTCCCAGAGCTCGAGGGCTGTTGCCGCCACCGGAGCACCCTCCGAACCACGCGTCCTCGCGTGTGTCATGTGCCAGCAGCGCAAGGTCAAGTGCAACCGCAAGTTCCCCTGCAACAACTGCATCCGGCTCGGCGTCTCGTGCGTGCCCGCCACCCTCAATCCACGCCGCCGGCGCCGCCGTTTTCCCGAGCGCGAGCTGCTCGACCATGTGCGGCGCTGCGAGGCGCTGCTACGGCAGAATCATGTGCGCTTCGACTCGCTCTTTGAAGAGGCCGTGGGCGGATCTGACGCTGAACGTGACGGCGATGAAATCGACCGCGGAAAGAACACCAATAAAGCGTCCCACGATGCAGCGTCGTCTCTGGCGGCCCTTCGGCGGGGTCAAGGCGCCAGTCGAGGCAGACAAGGAGGCCGTGGAGGTCATGGAGAGGACGACTCGGAGATGGTGCTAGACTCTGACGGCGACGAGGCTAGAGTGGTTGGAAGCGCGGCCAAGGCTGCCTTCTCGGATGCTGGACCTTCATCTATGCTGCCTGCCACGACACCAACACCAGGCACAGAGGTGGAACGCCGTGCCGAAGCCAACAACTTCTGGAAGGCGATCCGCAAAGGTTTCCATGACCCAGCCAATGGCGGAGCCAGCCACGACCGCAACACAGCCACCGCCGCAGGCTCCACCAATGCCGGCACAAACAACAGCGACAACTCCCGGGGCCATGTCGACGGCAACAGCTCCGACTCTGAAACCGAGTCTGAGATCCGCAACAGCAGTTCTGCGCTGCGCCAGATGTGGGCGCGCCAGCTGGGCAGCACCGGCAGCCTGTTTTTTCGAGGACCGCATTGGACGCTGGCCAATGTGACGGCCCTCCATCCAGGCCCTGTCCAGATTTTTCGTTTGTGGCAGATCTACCTCCAAAATGTCGATCCATTGCTCAAGATCACACACACGCCGAGCCTCCAGGGCCAGATTGTTGAGGCCACTAGCAATCTCGAGGGAATCAGCCCGAACCTCGAGGCCTTGCTGTTTAGCATATATTGTGTTGCTGTCCACAGTATGTCGCCGTCCGACTGCCAGACCGCCTTTGGAACGTCCAAAGACGCGCTGCTGGCCACCTACCAGCCGGCCTGCGAACAGGCACTGCTCAACAGCGGCTTTCTGCGGACGTCCGAGCGCGACTGTCTCGCCGCCTTCTTCCTGTACCTCATCTCCCTTGGCCACTCCATCGACCCGCGCTCGTTGTATGCCATGCTCGGTGTGGCCATGCGCGTTGCCCAGACCATGCAGATCAACAACGAAGTCGGGCCCGGCGCCCGCCTGGCGCCCCTCGAGGCCGAGATGCGCCGTCGCCTCTGGTGGGCCATGGCCCTCTTTGACTCGCGCATCAGCGAGTTGGCCAACCACAGCCCGGCCATGCTGGACCCGACCTGGGACTGCCGCCTGCCATTGAACGCCAACGACTTCGATTTTAGACCCGAGCTCAAGGAGCCGCCCGTGTCAGTTTCGGCAGCTGGTGGTCGTGCTGCCGTGTCGTCTGAAGCGCTGTTTGCCGTTGTGCGCAGCGAGCTCGGCAACGCCATGCGGCACGCTGAATACTACCTGGCGCTGTCAAACCCAGCCCTCAAATGCATGGCGAGGGACCGCGAGTACGTCGTTCAGGGTAACGCCAACAACCGAAACAGCAGCCGAACAGGCCGGCTTCCCGAATTTGCCGAAGTCAACGCCCTCGAAGATCTGATTGAAGACAAGTATCTACAATACTGCGACCCGGCTAACGGCCTGCACTACATGACCATCTGGATGGCCAAGGGCTTTATTGCCAAGTGCCGCTTGATCAAATACTTCTCGCGCTATGCCAACGGTGGACCGGCGAGCGCCGGCGTGGCTGCGAGCACGCCGACTTCTTCGTCTAGATCCACCGGCAGTGGCACACCCTCGTCCATCAATCTCACTACGACATCGTCCTCCGAAGCCTTGCGTGACTGTGCCCTCGCCGACGCACTTACCGTTATCGAGAGTGACACCAACATTATGACCTCGCCCCTTACAAGTGGTTACCGCTGGCTGCTGCACCTCTACTTCCCGTTACCGGCCTACATCTTTATCACACAAGAACTGGCCAGCCGTATTGGCGGTGCCCGGGCCACTCACGCCTGGGTTGCTATGAACGACAACTACGAAGCTCGTTTCGCTCTGAGCGACAGCGAAGACCGTTACATGTTCAAGATGTTTGCCAGCACCATCCTGCAGGCCTGGGACGCCTGTGAGGCCCGGTCGAGAGCCTCCGGTAAAATGGAATGCGAGGATGGACCTGTGCCCCTGCCCCAGATGATTGTCCGCATTCGCGCGCAGCTGGCGGAGGCCAGCCGCGACCGGACCGCCACGGAAATTCCGGCAACGACCGACATTACGTCTCTACAGTCGGGCGGAGGAAGTGTGCACGGCAATGGGGTCTCGGGCGCCTTGAGTGGCGCATTTGCCACAACCTTGTCCATGGACTTGGTTGGAGGTGACGACGGTGGTCTGACGGCCTCACTGTTTAGCGGACCACCACCGCCCGGAAGCGGAGCGCCGAGTGCCTTTGGCGATGCAAGTCCACCAGCACCACCATTGTTTACAGGTCCTAATTTTGGCGCACCCGGCTTTGGCTTGGGCAATATGGGCAACTGGCCGCAGATGCCGATGCCTTGGGGCTGGGGCCCACGTCCACCTTGGGGTGGATAAGACGAGGAGGGGTGGGAGGCAGAAATGAATAATATTTCTGTCGTTTTGAAGCTTTGCTTGCAGTGACAGACATGTGAACACGATTGACAGACCAAAAAATCTGCCAAATATCTCATTCTCTATAAGATCTCGAAGGCTGCAGGCTGGTACGGAAGTAGCTGGCTTGGTCACTTTGACGTGTTGGACGGCATTTGCTGAGCAGCTTAGTTGCCACTGCTCACAGCCCCGGGGCTAACCGTCTTTTGAACGCACATCTCGAGCGTTTGTATTTCCCGGTAAGGCCTACCGAGGTTCTCGAATTATATTGAGGACAGAGTCGAGGTGCCGATGCGAAAGTGAACGTTGAGCGAAGGCTGCTCTTATTTATGGGCAAACGTCCCATCTCCCATCTTTTCTTTTTGTTAAGTACACGACTTACAATTGCTCCAAAGAATCAAAATCTTAGTTGCATAAAACCTTAACAAATTTTTTGTGTCATTGCGATACGCACAATCGTCAAGACGTAATTCATAAATGTTGAAATGAGAAAACAAAGGAAAGACTGTAAGACGTAATTGCAAGAATCATTCACACCGTATTCCGTCTTCTGCTGGGCCGCTTACAGAAACGCTGCCATCGGCTGTCCCAGCGGTCAAGGAGCCACATCGTCCGTGCTTTAGCACGGCCTTCTCGTCCGCCCCGACAAGACTCGCGATGGAATCGATTGCCACCAAATTGTAGCTCCCGTGCCAGGAGGAAACGCAGGATCACCTCAGCCTTGGGGTACCGGACATGCCTCGGATAACAGTCCCAGTGCTGGCGGCGTGGATAAGCAGCTAGTGATCGAAGACGGACAGCGTCTTCGAGAATAGCGTGAAGAGGCGGACGATCTTGGCTTTGCCGCTCACTGTCCTTCTCACTGCCGTGCAGATGGCACAGCCGCTTCAAGTCTGCACCCGCATCGGTCAGGCACTGCAGCAGCTCTATCGGCCGTCGCGGATCGGCAATGGCGCGCAACAGCAGCGAGTCTGTTGGTGAGCCTGTCGCATTGTCCCTGCGTCGGCCGGGATGCCGGCCACCAAAAGCCATGTTGGGATCAGCATGGCCCTGCTGTAGCAAGAGCCGTGTTAAGGCCACGTTGCAGGACACCGCGTCGTGGAGGCAGTGGTCGTGCCGCAGCTCGGGCGAGTCCGCGTGAGGCCATGTCCATCGCCGTGGCCCGCGCACCTGCACGAGACCCAACACATGGCTCCATGTTGCAGACACAGTGTGAGACAGGCCAGCAGCGCCATTCTGGTCGTACTCGCTGCCCAGTGCCAGTGTGGCACCGTGTGCCAGGAAGCAGGCCACGACGGGCACGGGGCACCACCGCGGCGGCAGCGCGGCCGCGTCAAGGATGTCTGCGAGAAGAGGCCAGAACGTGTTTCTGTACGAGGACGGAGCGTCGTCGAGGGGCTTGCCGTGGAGGCCACGGAACACTGGCACGCTGGCGAATGCACCATGGTTGAGGAGACAGTCGAGTGTGGTCAGCGGGCTGGGGCACGTGGTGTCGAGCGCCATGGCAAACGTGTGCGGCCAGCTGCGGCTCAAGTCTGCACCGGGTGCCGCTAAGGCGCGCCGCAGGGTGCCGACACTGCTAGTGAGGCAGCCCCAACGAAGTGCTCTCGAGCAACAGGAGCAAGAGTTCTCATCAAACGCTCTCTGTGCGGCGTCCCTCCGATAGAGAGTGTCGACCAGAAGCCGATGGAAGAAACGAGAGGCTCGAGCCAGCCGAAATAGGTCGCCGATTTCGAGCAGGTTGCTGACTGCGAGTAGGAGCTCGTTTGGGAGACGCATCAAAGAAACAGCGCCCCTCACCGGATCCCGGCCAACCGTGGCAGCATCTGTCTCGTCCTGCTCCGCCATGGCCGCCGTCTGTGTGGGCCAGCCTGGGTAATCATAATAGCAGAGCGAAAGAAAGAAGAGAGAGAGAGATCAGACAAAAGAAAGAAGTACGTCCACTCGTGTAGTTTTGAATGTCGTTGGAAAGCAAGAGAAAACGTTTCGAGTCACACTGACGAGATGACAGCCTCCTTTTAGTGATTGGACAATGACCGTCTCCTTGCCCGCGCTCTCCGCTCAAGCCTCAAGCGCGTATCGGTAGCCTCATTCACGACCAGGCGTGTCTATTGGATGTCAGCTGTTTGCAGCGTGCATTCGGTGGGATGTGCTGCAGCATGCGCTGGATAGCGCCAAGGCATCCTTGGGGTAAGACAACGGAGGAGCAACCGTGGAGATGGTCGACAGGTCAAGTCCGTCATGCGTTGCGTTGAACAAACGATCTGTGGATCGCGACAAAAGACAACCAACCATCAGCCAAGCCTTGCTTGGGGAATTGCATGGGATGCAACTTGCATATCCAATTGCCGTTGCGGTGCACACAATTTGTGGACAATATGTGATCAATTTCTGGCCATCAGCAAGTGCTCAGAACGATTATCGATCCGCACAATTGCAGACGAGCACCTCTGGGTGCGATCATGGACCAGACGAAGTATCAAAGCTATTTGCCAAAGGAGCCAGCTCGAAACCGTCGAGTCTGCCCAGCCTTCTGCACAGACTGCAGATCAGGTGCTCATGTTTTCTGCCGCAACGTCGCTTTCGTTTCGTCATGTTTTCATTTTGCCGTGCAATCTTTCCCACCGCTGGCCATATCGACGGTCGGTTTCGGCAGCACTGGCGATCCGTGTACCGAAAACAAGGGGAGAAGGATAAAAGCAAACAAGAAATGTTGTATCGCAGTCGTGATGAGGTTGTGTAATGAAGATGGTAAAGTCGAAACAAAGGCGCAAAACGAGCGACGCATACCGCAAGTCGACAAAAGAACTTCGGCACGGAAGCACCCGTCTAATGGAACCAAAATCATCGCGAAAGCATTTGTTGAGGTCGGCCGTCGAGAGCATCGAGCATAGTGGCGCTTGTCGCAGACAAAAGGGGTGTCTTTATGCAGTCGGGATTGGCGTACTGCATCTTACCTGTTCGAATACGAGCACGCTCTACGAACGTGTCTCTCTCGCGCCTGCTTCTGCTTGCCCAATACGAGAACCCCTGCCCACTTTCCTTGACACTCTACACTAAACCGGCAACGGGTGTTTTGTGGAGACAATTTGCTCATTGCTACAAGTGCCTTTGATTGCCTTTGATCGTGCTTTCCTCCCACTGGTCACTCTGACAATGTCCCCTGAATCCTCTCTGGAATCAGGCTAATCATCACAAAAGGCACTCTCGCACTGTCGAGACGCTTTTTGTTTGCACTGCACGGCTTTAATCCCCATACTACAGCAAGGGACAGGGCCAGTTTTGTGTTGGCCCGTGCACGACGCGCGATGAAGCCAGCTGCCAAGGCTCTGGCCAGACCAGCGACGCCCCAGGGGTCAAGCAAAATTGGGTAAGAACGGCCCCAGCAACCATTGTCTATTTTCAGCACTGCCCACCATATCTCCCACCCAGACTGTGCCCCAAATAAAGACATTTCCTGCGTGGCAACCACTGTTCGACGCCCATCACGAGCGCCCTGTTCCTGTTGTTTCTGTTCGTTCCTCCCCCTGTGTGCCCCGTGTGTGGCGCTCTCCACTTTCCCTGTCCCTCACATTTTCCGCCTCTCGTCATTTTGGCTCTTGTTTCTTTCGTTTCCTCGTTTCTCGTGTTTCCTGTCTCCTTTTTTGGCCTCACCATCTCTCCATCCCACGCTGCGTTCCGACGACACACCGACCTTTCTCTGATCCGATTCTCTCGTTTTCTTTTGTCCTTCGCTTCTTCATCCGTTTCACTCAAACTTTTCTCTCGCTTCGTCGACTTTCGCTTCTCCTTTTCGATCGTCTAGCTCGTTCAGCTGTTCTTTTTTTGTGTGTTTTTGGGAGGGGGCATTCCATTCTAATTTTGGACCTCCGCAAGCAAAAACCGACTCACAGATCAGGACAAGCAGACCACCACTTCATTTCCTCGACAAACACAACACTCGGCGTCACCTCTGTGCGACAGACCGCCACACAGTTCCCCTGTTCGTCTCCCGCCGCTGGAGGATCTTGAAAGAGGCGACAATATCGCCGCTCGCGAACCCTTCAGTCGATCTAGCATCGACGGCTCCCAAGATCCTTCGCTTTGTTGGTCATCTCCCGTGCCTCGTCGCGATACACAATCGCCCACCGTCGCCATGGGTTTTGGCGACTTCACCAGCCTCTGCCGTACGGCACCCATCCCATTATGCGCGTCTGTCGGTGCCATCACCTCCATCTCCTTTGGCGTTGGCATCGAGCCCGACTGCTATGCTCGCAACATTGAGCTGGCCAATACCATCATCTTCCAGGGCGCCGCCAGCGCCATGCACATTGTTGCTCTGTTGATGACCATTATCATGATCTTCCACGTCCGGGGGAAGTTCACTGCAGTTGGTACGTCTCGCTCCCATTCCCGTTCATCTTCATTTGTCCGTTTGTTACCCGCGGCCAAATCTAATTCTCTTCCACACAGGCCGTAAGGAAATCACGACATTCTTCTACCTCTACCTGCTGCTCACCTTTTTCTCGCTCATCGTCGACGCCGGAGTCGTGCCACCAGGCTCTGGGCCCTACCCGTACTTTGTCGCCATCCAGTCTGGCCTCGCGTCCGCCCTCGTCACCTCGCTCTTCATTAACGGCTTCGTCGGCTTCCAGCTCTACGAGGACGGCACACCGCTCTCCCTCTGGATGCTTCGCCTGTGCTCCTTTGCCGCCTTTGTCATCTCCTTCCTCGTCTCGCTCGCCACATTCAAGTCCTGGGCCGGCCTTGGCCCCACCAACACCGTCGGGCTCTTTGTCGTTCTATACCTGCTCAACGGCATCCAACTGCTCGTCTACATTGTCCTGCAGACTCTCCTGGTCTTGCGCACCCTGCAGGACCGCTGGCCGCTCGGCGACATTGCCTTTGGCGTCTTCTTCCTCATCGCCGGGCAGGTCCTGCTGTACGCCTTCAGCTCGCGCATCTGCGTTGCCATCAGCCACTACCTCGACGGCCTCTTCTTCGCCACCACATGCAACTTGCTGGCCGTCATGATGGTCTACAAGTACTGGGACTCCATCACCAAGGAGGATCTCGAGTTCTCCGTTGGCACCCGCATGAACAACTGGGAGGTCAAAGAGCTGATGCCTGAGGAAGACCGCCGCAACACGATCTACACCGAGGATCCCTATGGCCAGTCGAGCGCCTATGACCACCCCTATTCGCCTACCGGCAACCGATTCTCGAAATACTAGGCGGACGGCCAACAGCAGCGGGAAATATCTCTCCTTACTACCACTCCTTCACATTTTACTATGTTCTTTAATATCACTACCGGGGTTTCCCGCCATGTCCTTTTCTTTTTTCGTTTTCTCCTAATTTCTCTCTCACTCTCGATTTGTTTCTTTATCTCCAAGAACAGCTCTGTCTGATGGACCGGGAGGTAGATATACGGAATTGTCGCATTTGAGCGCTGGATTTGTTTTATGTTATGGCGTTCAGCTTTATGTATCAAGCTTTGTTCCCGGGTTTATGAAATCTCGTTCCTTGTTACCTTTTGTTTCTTTTCACCCATTCTGTGTTTCTCGTGTTCTCGTCGTATCGACGGATGTCTAATAGCAACGAAGGAAAATACATAGGTGCGTGTTGCTGGCGGTGTTCATCATTATCCATAGCAAAAGAATATCATCCACATACATAATGACGATTTTAAATGGCGTACATGCAAGTCTTAGAGGTCCATTCCTATGTTTGCTACTTTTTGTAGCAGGTCTTTCTGAAACATTTTACAGAGCTCATTTTATATACCGCTTTATAATCTATATAGCATGTATATCTCTTTCAAAGATTGACACCCTGTTTATTTATAATCTCTTTGGGATGCTCATGGAAAACGGTAAACGGGTTCAATGCGGTGACAGCAGTTGGCAGGCTTAAGGCAGAACTAACGGCGAATATTGATAGAGAAAGTGAATGTTTGCCATATTCACTTGGGATCTGTTTAATTTCTGCTAATATGACAATCTATCAGCGAATAAAGGTTTACGTCGCAGTGGTTTGGTACGCCTCCTTTTTGAAATGTACGGCGCCTCTTATAAACACTTTCTTGACGAACTGGGCTCCGATCACGATCGGCTTTGAGTGGGAAGCACCATCCCCAGGACCTCACGGGTACACTTACAAATGAGGACGTCAAAAAGTGAAATAATTTGCTCCGTAATTAACTGGCTGTGCTGCTGTGACGGTGATCCTGCCGTTGCTTCCTTCGAAGGCACGCCTTACATGTTTTCTGTTTTGTACAACATGATGGTTCGTTATATTCCGAACTGGTGCATAACGACAAGGCGCTATAAAAGAGCCTCACAATATGTGTTGGCACTGAAACATGGGGCTTATAAAAATAAAATAAAAAATACGGAATACTGTTTTCCAAAGGCTATTGCCGCTGCCTTCAGTCTTGCTTCTATTCAATCGTATTCTTTCTTTTTTCAACTGTTGCATACTTACTTTGAGAACAAAATTTCGCCTTCATAGAATGGCCAGGTCGCAGTGAAATAACAAGCTGTCGTAGCACAACACCTTGTTACCTCAGAAATTCTGTTCGGCGGTGTCTCTTCCAACTTAGCACCGACGATGATACTACATTTTGACCGCAATCTGGGGCACCCAACGTCCTGTTGGTTCTAATTATCTGGTATTCTCTTCATATGGAGCATATGAGAGTTTTGTTTCTTAGCGTTTCTTCGTCGCCTAGCTGTTAGCGCATTGTCTCACATATTGCCTCCCAAACCTCCCCTGTTTGGCTGTCGGATTCGTAAGGTAATTACTCGTTAGCCCGCTGCAGGGCTATGTACCTTTCGTCGCAACTGCCCTGCAAAAGTGAGGTGAACTCGATACGTGACCTCAATGGGTCGCGCCTGCCAAAGCCTGGGCCATGCATGGCCCTTTTCCCTTGCCTTTAATTTTTCCGTCTCGTCCTGCGCGCCACGCCTGCTCACGCTCTCTGCATTCAAACCTCATCGCTCCTTCTGCATTGGTCTTGTCAACCGTTTTCCCTACGCGCACCTTCCTTCTCTGTGACAATAGCTCCTTCTCCTCCGTCACCTAGCTGCCCCAGAAACATTATAATCGCCCTCTCCCACTGCTTCGTCGTCGTCTTCTTCTTCTTCTTCTTCCGTCATCCTTCTGCTTCCCCTTCCAGCTCTTGAAGCGCATTCTCCATCATCCCATCTCCCGTCACCCACTTTAAATCCGTCTTTCACACAGCTCCTCGGCGCATCACGAGCCACATCCGCATTCAGCATTATTATACCTCCTCGACTACTCTGCGGTGTGCTGCGGAATTCTGCGCTCGTCTCCATTGCCCACTTTCCTATTTCCCATCACCTCTCTCCCACCTGTCATCGTCCACCCAACCCTCGTCCCTAAATGCGGCTGGACTACGATGAGGTAGTTCTCGGCCCGACCGCCGCCAACGGTTTCTGAACGTCAACTGCCGCCCAGCAGCAGGATACCAAGACTTGCGGTGTGTCGGTCTAGGTTGTTTTGCTTTGCTCGGAAACAGCACGCTCGGGTATCTGCTCTCCTCACTCTCACGAAAAACAAAACAAATTTGATGCTGCTGTCTTTTCCCCTTCGCTCGCCTAGTGATACCAAGGCGTTAGACGCTCTTTCTCTATATTTCCTTCATATCGATTCCGCAACCTTTGAGACGTCGTTGCCAGCATTAATTTGGCAAGTGTTGTCGATACATGGAAGCACTTCACCACCTCACTAATTCTATTACATTTTATATAGAGATCATTCCCTGCTTACCTTATATCTTCTCGTCGCCCCTCGTTTTCCAGGTCTTCGGACCCAATTAACACGGACATCCGCGCTGTCCTGTCCATGTCACTACCGATCCAACTTCCACTGGATTAGTAGGATGTCGAACGGAGTGGTGCCGAATGGTTCCGCCCACACCGCTGGCGGCGGTGTTCCTGTCCTTGGCGTCGGCGTCGGCGTCGGCGCTGGTGATGCTTCAGCCATCGGTGTTCAGCCTCCTAGTTTTCCCGAGGACGATGATGCCGACTACAACTGGGACGAGGTAGAGGAAAATTGGCTACAGCAGATTGCGGAAGCCCGCGCCAAAGAAGACCGCGAAATGGTCGAGGAGTACAATGAAGAGGAGGAGCTTCTTCGCACCGAGCTAGATGACGCCGTATGCGAGCATAATAGGCTCACAGAGACACTGCTGCAAGCTCGTGTGCTCGTCGACGAAAAGAAGGCCGATCTTGAGTGGCTCGTGGCCGAGTTCAGAAAACGCCGAAAGGCCATTGAAGATCGCCGCGCCGCCGATGACTTTCGCGTCCGGGCCTGGATCACGAAAGGGCGGCGCTTTATGGACGCTCGCCAGCGCCAGACCATGCGCAATGTGACGGCCATGCACATTGACAGCCATGGATCGGCAATGAACTGGGACAGAGACAACGGCCTGTCGCTCTTGACAGGCTCCGGCAACCACCCAGCCGACCAGTCTACCAAGGCTTCTGTCCCACTCCACAATAGCGTCAATGGCACCACTAATGGCGATCTCCACGGCCACAGCCAGATAAGTCCCTCGCCGCATGGAGCAGCACCTCCTCCAACTATACCGACCGATCATCACAGCGCTCCCGAATACCTTCCTAACGCTAACGGGTCGGTGTCCGTGGTCAGCACGTCGGGGGATTGCGTTGGCAAGGTCATCCCAATCCGCCCCGAGAACCACTGGGTTCAGGCCCTGCTCGAGAGACCGGTGCGCCGTGCTGTTGAAATTCGACTAGGTCGCAAGTTCAAGCAGAGTCACTTGGATGCTATCTATGAGGGTCACGACCAGAAGAGATCCAAGTGGCTGAGCTTTATGATTCAGGCAACCGGTGAGATCCAGGATCGGGCCTGCCAGACGTGCGCAAAGGGCCAAGGACTCTTCTCCCTTTGCATTATCGTTGGTGGTACAGACTTCCCTCGTTGTGGCAATTGCGAATGGAACAAGCAGGGCTGTCACGGTGCCTCTGTCCGGACCGCCAACCGAGTACCGCTCCCCACTGCCGCACCCAAAGCGGCATCAAAGCAGCACCAGCCGCCTCTCAATGGCTCAGCTGGAACACCTACCAAGCAACCAGTCAATGATTCCTTCAAGCAAGGCTCTCCCATGGCTATGGACAAACCAGATTCTAGGCCTTCCAGTTCAAGCAAGCGCGGGCGAACCAGCCTTCCTCACTACCAGTCGCCAGACGCCTCGCAACGATTCGAGTCATTCATGGTGAGGGAGCTCTCTCCACCCGGGAATGCATCAGACGAAATCACCGCCGATATGATTGCGCTGCGCGATGACGGCATGATTTTCCTGGAGCCCGAGTTGATGCATGGCGTTCCTCTCCGCAAGATCTCGCCTGACCATGCCTACTGGGAACGAGGATGGAAGCCGTTTGAGGGTGCCATTCAAAGTAAGCTCGAGGAATGGACGGACAAGCTTGCCAAGCTCAAAGCTCTCCCGGATTCTTCCTTGACCGACAAGGAGCGGACAGCGGTCTTCCAAGCTGGCCGTCAGGTGAACCGAGGCAAGGCCACAACACGGTATCTCGCCACGTGCGATTTCCATCCGTACCAGCTCGTCAGTAAGAAGTGGATCACGCCGTCGTTAACTCATTATGACACTTTGTTCCGCATGGTTGCAACGCTTGACGAGCTAGCCAAGTTTCGCTTGGATGTGACCCCTTTGCAGTGGCTCCGACAGCGCCTGTACGAGATCTACCTGGAGAAAAAGGGCAACTTCAAGCTCGACCGTGCCATTGCTAAACTCTACCACGACCCTAAGCTGGCTCACCTGCGCTCAAAAAACGGGTTTGGCAACATTGGCCGTCCGTCAGCTGCTTCGAAGCCTCGCGCCTCTGATGGCGGCACTAAACCGGGCAGCGCCGATGGCAGCCCTGACAAGAAGCCAACGGGCGAGAAGCGCACAGAGCCGCCACTGGGCGATACCAACAACCCTACGCCGTCCAAGCGCGTCCATTTGGATTCTGAAAAGCGCGCAGGCAAAGACAGCGCCGCACAGAAGACAAAGACGAAGCAATCAGCACGTTCTCTAGGCATGGCGAAGCCTGGTACGGCCACGCCCACGGCCAACCCGCGTGTCCGGAAGCCACCCTCGTCCAAGACGCGCGACGACAAGGCTCCAGCGTCTACCGCAGGATCTGTCTCAACATCGACCGCTCCTAGCCGAGCAGCCTCGCATGCTACTGACGCCGTGCCCGTGTCCACCGAGGACGAGGACCTGGAGTACTCTGGCTATACGACGACAGACTCCTTGACCCGTGATATGGTGGTCAAGAAAGACTGGCGCGTGTATCAGGTCAAGACGAAGGATCTTGCCACGAACCCGCAGACGACGCAGTACTGGCACTGGGTGGATAGGGAACAAGCCTACAAGTCAGGACCTGGCGGTCGTCGCGACTTTGACCCTATGTTTGAGCACCAGGTTCTAAAAGAGACAGAACCGACTATTGGCTGGGGTGTCTTTGCTGACCCCGTCGATTTCCATCTGCGCCTGCGGGAACTAACCGAAGTGTCGTTTGCGCCCGACTCCGACATCATTGTTATTGGAACTCGGGAGGTGAAGGGCATCCAAGGCCGAGGCAATGTTCTGGCACAATTCAAACGAGAGCGCACCAAACGCCGGTTTCTTGCATTCCTGAAGAAAAAAGGCGTTCCTTTGCGGAAGACGGATCGGCACGAAATCGAGACCGAGTGGGACGGAATTCAGGCAGAGGTAATGGCGGGCAACGAGTCCGAGTAACCTCACACCTACTATATCCTCCTAGTCTGCGTGCTATATATGCAATTATGTATCACTGTCTGTTGCTTGTATGTACAATGCGATGCGACTTGGAAGAAGAGGATGTAAGGTAGAGAAAGCGTCAGTGATTATTGATACTGTTATTCTCATTTGGGGCTTTGGTTGGAGTTACAAGGCAAATGGGCGGGCCGAAGGCGCTATTGCACGCACTATTTAGTATTTTTTGGGGGGCCACAGCGAGGAGTTGTGCGCATCGGCTTGGTTTTGTTGACATTTTTACAAAACTATTTGATCTCAATAATCATGTATTCTATTGTTTGCTCGACTGTTATTTGAATCATACTTTACAAATATTATATCCAACGTTAAAGCAGTCGTTTTCGAGCGTGCCAAGTAGCTTTGAAGTCACTGATACCGTCCCTGTCATTGGACAATTGTGTTACGTAAGCAAGAAAAACTACTTCCAAACTTTGAGGAAAGCTCTAAAGTTTGCAGTGGCGTGCATCGCATCACGTCGAACGACGATACACCACAACGGCACAAAACGACGATATGAGATAACAAACCACGAGCACATATCACCCTACATTGACAATCGATCGTGACCGACGAACCAAATCTCCTCCTGCCACGAGTCGACGGACTCAAACACAATACACACTCGCACACCACTTCAAGATGTTGTACGAGTTAATAGGGATTGTATGTCAGCTGGCCGAGAATGAAGATTTGTGCGTACGACTGGAACACTTACTAACTGGTGTCTCCGTCACCAAATAGGCCCGGCCGGGACACATCAACGAAGTCCGCGAAATCGTCCTCACCAGCGGCCAGCTCATCCTCCGCAACGGCGGTGTCATCCGCTCTATTGCCAACTGGGGCGTCTTTTCGCTGCCCCGCCCGCTGTCGGTGCACCAGGCCAAGTACACTCGGGGCCACTACTTTGTGATGCGGTTCGATGGTAGCGCGGAGGCACAAAACGCGGTGCGCACGACGTTGAAGCTGGACCCTCGGATGATTCGGACAGCGTTTGTGCGGCTGGGCGACGACCGCAAGCTGGAGAACACGGCTCGGTTTGGCGAGATCCTGTGGTCGCAGGCGTTTGAGCGGAGTTAAGGGGGCGTCCACGACAATCGAACCAGACATTGGGAGGGCACAACTAGAACGATCGTGAGTGATCGAGGACAAGCGGTACATACCCACACGGCCAGCCCCAGACGAGAACCAACAACGGAACGAACGGCCTGGCAAACAGGCAGCGAGCATCCACTCGAGACAGCCCGCACTATCCTTCTTTTGTACGATATATAAAAGCAAATAGGAGTACGGAATTATGCAGACGTGGGCAAGCTATTGTATATATACACGTATGGTATTTGAGAGCATAGATTCACTATTTTACGACTAAAGGACATCCACCTTTGGCACGCAGGTCACGTTTTCCTTCATCTGTATAATCTCGAGCTCCGAGCAGAGTTGGCCATCGATGATATGAATTATTTTATATTTGTTCATGAGTAGCCATAGCGATATATACTTTTGCTCTTTTCTAAGAATGCATACAGGCAGGAATATGAAGGAGCACAGAGACGTAAAGGTGCAATGGTACAAGAGCGTGTATGTCGTATAGATATGTACTACCCGATACGGCAGACAAAAGTCGCGATCTATTCGGAGGTGTCCATGGAGTCCTTCTTGTTGCCTGTGTAGCCCTTCTCGTTGCACCACGCGACAAAGTCGTCGATGACGCTAGGCCAGGCGCCGTCTTCGTTCCAGAAGCCCAATGTCTCGTCCTCGCTACACTTAATGGCAAATTCGAGCGTCTGGTTCCACATGTCGCGGTTAACAGACCGCGTCCACTTCTCCTCAAGGAACGCGATCCAGAGCGGGGTCCAATCGCGCGAGGCCGTCTTCCAGGGGCGGCCGGGTGCCGCAAAGAGGACTTTCCAGAACTCAATTGCATTCTCCAGGCTCATCGACCGCTGGTCAGGCTCTTTTCCTGCACCAAATGTGTACCGGTATACCCGCTTGAAGTAGGCAAGGTCGGTGGAAAAGTGTTTTAAGAGGGTCGTGATGTATTTGGCCTGTTCCTCTTTTGTTACGCTGCCACTAAAACGGAAGAATGTATGTGTCAGTCCCAACAATTTCTCCGACCGGGGTGTCACCGTCTTCGCCCTTTCCACCTGTACTAACCTTGTCTTCCAGCCATCGACAAAGCCCTTGCGGGTGATCTCGCCAAGACTCGGTGCTTGAACCAGCTCCAACGCCACAAAAACTTCTCCGCTTTCCGGGTTCAGTCCTAAGGATGTCAAGTAGGCCATTGTTGACTCGACTCCCAGCGCGTCCTTGGCATCTTCTGAAGGATCTGGTGAATTGCTCAGTTAGCCGTCTGAACACCAGATCACCTCAACACCAAAATACATATGCATCCAAGCACCAACGACGTCATAGCTCACCTCGTAACTCATCAAACATCGCGTCCAGCTTCGGCTCTGAACCGTTGGAAATGGCCCCGCCGCCGGCTGACATGTTGTTGAAGTACCTAATGCTCAGGTTAGCAAGGCATGGCCAGTGTACAATAACGCTTTCGAAACCCAGTAACAGGTAAAGGTAACGAAGAGAAAAGAAAACCACTAATAGGTGCAACGACATTATGTAGACGAGGATGGTGTGGGAAAGGAAAAAAATAAACAAAAGTTCCACAGCCGTAGAGCAGAGTAGTCATGACTTCACTGACACTGCAGTTACCAGAACGTGTTGTCTTTTTTCCCGCAAGGCTGCGTACCCTCCGTGCTCCTTGCCTCGACCGATCCGAGGAGCCTTGATTCGGATGCCTTTTGTCGAGGAGGTGTCGGTTTGCTGTTTCTGGACGCTCTGCCCGCTCTGCCCATTTTGCCGGCTTTGGCCACTTTGCAGGTCGTCCTTGGATTTGGTCAGGTTCCATAGTGAATTCGAGGATGACGAGGCCCAGTGTCGACTGGACGGGTCGTTTTGTAATCTCTGGCTGTACACGTCGTCCTCGCTCGGTGAGTCTGTGTCTGTCTGCGGTCCTTTTCTCCCGTGCTTGTCCGAGGATATCCGGAAGAGTCTCTTGATGTTGAACACCATGGTGCAGATCGTGAGAAAGGTGGCGATTGGGCGTATTTGGAAAGTGCCTCTCTGTATCTTCGGAGTAGATTCTAAGTAAAGCGTCGCAACTTGCGATCCAGTATGCCAATAGAAGCAAGCAAAGGTCCGACAACACTGCTCGAGCGGACCAAAAACCGTGCAACGACCCCAACAGTGGTTTGGCGCCGTGGAAGGCCAGTGGCCAAGGGTCCTAAAGCGTGACGGTACAGTTGCACACGGCAGCGAAAGGTCAAGCCGAAAACTATGGATTTACGCGGCCAGCGACTCCATGATGTTTTGTGGGTTTGTAGGCGCGAGGCGCATGTAGTATGTTCTGTGCAGCGGAGATCGTGCGCAATGTGTCGAAGGTGTGATGATTTCTTGGACAGAGCCTCGATTTGGCTGTAACAAGACTAACACGCCTGTTGGAGAAACTAGTGGAGGCAGAAGTAACCTGCCCGTTACCTCCTGACCGTATGGGCACCTGGCTTCTGGATTTGGATCTTCTGGTCCTAGTTCTTGGCACAACCTCTCTCGCTATGGTGTAGGTGCGAGTGCAAGAGTAGTCTGTGCAAACTTGCAGGTACACATGGGACTGTGTGTGGATGTGGTAGATCTCGAGATGTGCGGCTCAACGCCAATGCAGGCCGGGACGCATTTCCTCTTTTCCCCAAGTATAAAAACGACGTTCGTAAAAAAAAGGTCCGATGCAGCCGTGCAGAGTAGCAACCGAAGTGACAGGGCCGGTTGACAGAAAGGGCACAATAAAACGGCTCAATGCGTTATTGGGAGATCCAGGTGGGGAGTACGTCGGAGTTGTCGACGCAGTCGAGGGATGTCGTAAAGTCGTGGAGACGTAGGCAGTGCCCAATAGCGGGAACGGGAGCCAGATCAAGACAAGGGCCAGTACATGAGGTGGGGGGTTGAAGAAGCCAGAGAAGAAGGATGGAAGAGGTGAAAATGGGAACGGGTAGACAAGGCCGGGGAAAAGGCCGACGAAAGGCAAAAGGACAAAAGGCTGAACGATGCAAGACAAAGGAATGGACAAAAAAAATAGCACTAGCGACCCTCAAGGCAAGAAACGAAAAGGAATGATAATAAAAACTTACAAGTCCGCCGCTTGATCGAGCTTAAAGTTGGTGGACTTCAGCGCCTGTAGATTTACCCGATAGTCCCGTCAGCGGAATGTCTCTCGAAGCTTGTGGGAAGGAGCAAAACGTCGATCGGGCTAAACATAGCACACCAGGTGCCGCCAATGCCGTCGCCAGGACACGCCAAAGACACCAAAACGACCAGATGGCAAAAAGCACCACAAAGACATCGAGGAATGGCCCTTCAAACCGCCCGACTTGACCAACGCAAATCGTCGCAGACGCCATGGCGAGTATTGCAGCGGCCAGATAAAAGAGAGTTCCCTCCATAGACAAGGCCACAATGGTGGAGGGACAGCCCTTGTCCGTTGCAATGGGCCAGCATATTTGTTTGGGCATCTGTTTTGCCCTTTTGGTATCCGGATCGCCTGTGCCATCTGGGTCGTCTGGGTCATCTGGTTCGCTTGACTGTTGTTTTTGTGGTGTCTTTGAGCCCCCTGCTGGCGGTGTTGCTGCTCTGCAGTGCTGTGTTCTGCTTGTGCTCCGAGTCGGGGACAAATAGAAAAAGAGCAATGGCTGTGGTGATCCACCCAAATAGGGCCGAATAGCGAATAGCGACATGCAACCTAACCCATCCGCGGCGCCCGCAGCTTTTCGCCGCATACGGAAGGGACCGTGGGAAGCGGAATAGGGAGGCAAGAATTCCGATAAAGAGCGAGGGCAACGTGCAAGCTGACAAGGCGTTGGTTTCCGGTCGAGTTGTCGTGTCGTCTTCCGTTTCTGTGTCGTCTTTGTCCATGTTTCTTCACCCTTTCTTTCCTTCTCTTCAACAATTCCACCTTTTTTTTTCTGTTCTGCTTATTCTTTCTCCTCCTCTTTCCAACAACGGATTTTTTTGCCCTGTTCTAGCATTGTGGCTTTGAGCATGAGCGTCTTTCCGCCACGCGTTCTGTGTTCCTGTGTCTTCGGCTCTCGATTCTTCGTCTTTTGCTCCCAGCTTTAAGTCTTCCGTTGGTCGTTCCGTAGCCTCGCTCTGATCGCCGCCGTCCTGTCGCTTGCTCGTCCCATTGCTCTTGCCGGATTTGCTGACCGTCCACACAAGCTCGTGAAGCGCAGAACACAGCCCTGCAACAGTAGCCCCAGGCCAGGGCTGCCAACACAACGACAGAAGTGCAAAAACCGAGCAACTCGACTTTTATTCCAAACACCCGAAGGTTTTCGGAACAGACAAGCGGAAGGGGAGAAGCAAAAACATAAATTGGCAAAAAGAAAAGATCACCACTTACCTTCAGTGCGGCACGTTCGTTGGCTCCCGTGGCCTGCATGAACTGGGCCAGCAGCATACGCTGTGTAGCGGTTATAGGCGGCATGTTGGTAGCCCGTTTATTTGCTCTGGAGGAGGACAGGGATTCGTTGTGATGGAAGGTAGGTTGGTTCGTAAATTATATGTAGGAGAAGAGCACAGCTCTGATCGAAATCGTAGCTCGCCCGGCTTCCGAGGACCAGCTGCCCTTAGCTAGGCGTGTGGTGGATATGTGTGTATGGCCGATGTCGCCCGTCTCGACAGCAGAAGACTGCCTCCGTTTGTTGCGATAGAAGTTCTGTCTTGTGTCGAACAAAGTCCGAGAGTCTGGTGTTCGCACGTGTGTGTTGAGGATGAGGCGAGACAAGGAGCACGAGAAATGAAACAGGTTCGCAGCGCCTTCCGTCGAGAAACGCGTGTTACGGTGGGGAGATCTGCGATGCGAGGAGCTATCGAAGTGAGCGGGTGGATGAACCGAAATGTTGCGACACTGCTGGGTGTGTATGCTGCTTATGGACGGGGGATAATAAAAGTCGGGGCTATCGAAGAATCAAGCCGGTAGATTTCCGTTGTAGGTAGATGGTAGGGTAGGGCAAGGTCGTGTCTGTCACTATGAGCTGAAGCAAGTTCCTCGATACGTGTCTGTTGCTTCAACAGTTCAAGGAGAGGCGAAGGGATTGTCGTTTCTCGAGCGGTGTCGTATACGGCACTTGCGGCCCTTGCTTGATATGGTGGTCCTGCTGCGTATTGCTGGGTACGACCCGTACACCATGTGTTGCGGGCATGTAAAGGCTCTTTCCTCCGGTGGAAGACGGGCACCAGTCGTGTGTTGTGGATGCAGGCGCGTGTGTCGTCCCAGGATGCTGGGAGAAAACAAAGTACGCCGGGAGACTAGCAGAGGGATGCAAAGAAGGGCAAGCGAGGTGTGAATGGAAATGGTAAAATGGCAAGGCGTCGTGACCAGTTCTTTCCCTGTGAGGTTCACCAAAATAGGTTCCGTGTAGGGAAAGAGTGACTGTCAGTGCTTTCTGAGCCTCTGGTTCTTTCCCTCTCCTCTTTATTAACGCCGGCTTTTTTGTCGTCAAGCGGGGGTGACGAAACAAGTGAACGGCTGGGGTTGGTGGGCCGCGCACATTCCCAGCGCAGGATGCCCAAATGGCGGGGTCTGGACGGGTCTGGTTCATAGCCTGGACGGAAGGCATATTGCGACAAATCACAACAACAATCGACAGATGCACGTGACGGAATTCAAACATTTCAACCATGCAGGTCGAAAACATATAGATAGTACATCATTGTAATGTCAATTGCAATCGCCAATGCCGAACGATTCAAACTGGCTCGATGTTGCACCTAGGATACTTTGATACATATAAACACAGGTAAAATACAATAGGCCAAAAAATGAGACAAGGCATAGCAAGAGATCGCATAGAAATTAAAAAAGAAACAACTGACAAAACATAAAAACATCGGCCGAAGGGTATTGAAAAAGTCGATCGGTGTGTGAAAAGAGACGGGAGAACGACCTCGTCTCGGAGCAAAACAACGCTGAACGATGACGATAGAAAGAAAAGTAGACAAGAGCATTGACAAGAGACAGCATATACTCCCTTCCCCTGCTCTGTCACTCGCCCAAAGGCATGCCGTCCAGCTCATCAAGCAAGCGCCGCCAGTTGTCGGCCAGCATCTCCGAGTACTTGACGCGCTCCTGTGCCCAGTCCTGGTTCCAGCGCGAGACGTGGTACTGAGTGGCCTGAAAATAGAGAAGTTCGTCGCGCAAGCACTCCTTGACGAAGACGGAGCGGTTGTGCTGCTGGACAATGGTCTCCTTGTCCTTGATGATGGCGTCGATGACCTTTTCAATCTCACCAGGCTTCACAAGGCCCTCGGGTTTGGCGCGCAGGGTCGCCAGCTTGGACTCGTTCTTTTGGATGCGGCGCTCGAGCATGGGGATGGTGTCGCGGTCGTTACGCTCGCGACGGTCAAAGAGGTCGCGGAGGCCTACCAAGGCATCGCGCTGTCGCTTGAGGTCTTCCAGCACGCCGGCATCCCAGGCGCGCGACTCGTCCTCCATAAGTGTCTGGCCCGTGCGCAGGTGCTTGCTCATGGCGACGAGACCGTCGTTGAGAAGAGGCACGAGGTTGGTGTCGGTGGCATAGACGTCGGCGCTGGCCTCGGTCAGCGACTGCAGGGACACGGCCATGCGGGCGTGGTCGTTGGCGATGCCCTCGCTGCGCTTGACCAGACGATCCATGATATTGCAAGTCGTAATGTACAGCTCAGCCGAGCGGCGCACGCCAGACCGTGTACGGTCGAAGAGCTCATTGAGGGAGGGGGACAGCGACTCCTCCAAGCCGGGCGGCAGGGGCCGGCCGGCAAACTCGTCCTGCACAGAGATTGTCGCCTGTTTACGCCACACAGAAAGTTCCTGCTGTTGTTAGAGAAAGAAACATAAACTCAAATAAATTATGTGGAGGTGGACATACTGTAGGAACAGTCAGGAACATGACGACGAGCTGCTCCGTGCTAAGCACAGGATGCCGTGTCAGGGCATTGAGGAAGCGTGCCAGGCCGCGCCTGCGTTTCTCGATAAAGGCACCGTCGTTCGACAAATGATTGCCATTGACGGCGACGCGCTTCGGCGGCAGGAGCGGCAGTACACGGTATGGGTACCGCTTGTGCAGGCATTCCAACAACCACACGAAGTCGCTGTAGCGGCGCACAACCTTGCTACCGCGACGGGTGCTGGACACTTCGTAGTTGTGGTGTTGGAACATGAACAGACCCTCTTTCTCTGGCATCAGCGTGACGAGAACGTTTTCTTCAATTGCGCTGCCCGTGCGGCCACCAATGTTGCCAATGGTCCGGGAAGGGGGTGCACCGCCGCGCACAGTAGAGTTCCCATTAGCGCCGAGGCCGGCGTTGTCATTACCAGTCGGCAGCTCACCAAAGCCGCCGCCAAGGTTGCTGACGGTTGGGCTGCCGCCGCCGTTGTACATGTCCCACCCTGATCCCGAGTTCCGTGCGTTTCCACTGGTAATGTTGGGCTGCGCGTCGGCCGTACTGCCACCGCCGATGACGGTCGCCTCGGGCGTCGTTGTGAAGTTGGATGTCGTTCTTATCGGGAGGGCGTTGCTGGGGCTCGAATCAAAAATCCCATTGCCATTGGCGTTGGGATCGGAGCGTGTGGTTGCGTCGGCACCTGCGTCGGCACCAGCATCGGCACCGCCGGTTACTGTTGAGGCATCGTCACCTGTGCTGACCCTGGCGGCCGGTGCAATATCGGGATGGTGGTGGTCTTTATGCAGATCGTGCGAGTTCCACGGATCGTCGGAGCCGTAGTCCATCGGAGCCTGGCGAATGTCTGAGGCCGGTTTCAGCTGAGGAAAGGCAGATGGCGGCTGGTAGGACGATTGGGGCGGCGGTGGTGCTGCTTTGGGGGTCGGTCGGAAGGGAGAGGAATCGGTCTGGGACTGGGACGTAGGGGCAAAGCCAGTTAGAGTAGGACGGGGAAGATCTGTTTGACAAGGCGACCTGGGTTAGCTCTATGATAGTTCCATGTGCAACGTAGACCCACCAAATCGCGCGTTCGCCTTTGATTCGCCACCACAGCAACAGACGCCCAGCGCAATCAACAATACATATGGGCAATGTAGTGGGATAAGATAATACGCAACGATGTGCGCCATGGCTGGATACTGGTTACAGGATTGAAAACGAAGAAAACGAAAAAGGGGAAGGGGTAGAAAAATGGCAAATGACAAAGTCAACATGTAGAGAAAGGACTCACTTCGCCGGCGCTCGTCTACGCTGTCGAGACTAATCACCTCGCCTTCCTGGGCAAGCCCGACCAGTGCCAGCAGCACGTTGAACTCGTTGCGTCCCAGAGCAATGGTGCTGTTGCCGTCGTCATCGGTGGTGTTGCTGCCGCCCGGTGCAATGACGTTCATAATGGCAGTCTGGCTGTCGGCGTCGAGCTTGGAAGCGGCCAATGTGCGGGCCACGCCGCCGGCAGACACAACGTTTTTGGAAGACGAATTGCCATTGTCATCGTCGTGTACGGCGGCCTCAAAGGCGTTGTGGTAGGCGTCAGGGACGTCGGAAGCGGGCAGCAGGCCGCGCAGCAGCTCTGCGCGAGTTTTCTTTTTGCGCGGTGACGGCATGTCCCACGGTGATGGTGCGTCGTGACTTTTATCGGCATTCTTGGTCGTCGTATCGTCTTCGTCTTCGTCCTCGGCGTCAAAAAGGTGGTCCGAGTTCGTGCGGCTGATGCCCCCTTCGTCGTCAAAAAGGCCGTGGCGCGAGCGGGCAAATGATGAGTGCATCGACGGGTTGACGTTTTCGTCCGGGGGCGAGGTGCCGAAGAGAGACATAGTGGCCGTTGGGGAGGGAAACGGTAAGCAATGGATCGGATGGTAAAAATCGAATGCCTGTATGTCGTATGGTAGGGCTATCGTGGTCGATCGCTGTTGGTTGCTGTTGAGAGAGTGAATGGACAATCAGAGGTGATGACAATGACGACGACGACGAGTGGACAAATGAGAAGGCGCAGAATGCGGCAAAACGCCGATACAGCCAAATACAATCGGGGGGCACACAAATAAGCCCGAGGAAGCAAGGTCCGTGAGAAAATACGAGCAAAAGATAGTAACTAGTGGCAAGTCGCGGGAAACGTTCGAGTCTGATCAATACTCAGGACATGGATCACGAATGGCTTTGGAAGAGGCGTCTTTGGTTTCGGAGAGCTCCTTCCTCAGATTGCGGGCGGGTGCAACAAAGTGGAGACGGAGTGGTGTCAGTGGCGGTTGGCCAATCAAAGGGGCAGATTCTTGACACTGGAGGTGCTCGAGGAGGCAACGCTGCGACAAGCTCTAATGAGGTCGGCGTGTAACCGCTGTAATCGTAAGGGCACCTAAGTTACATGCGGCAACTCGACCCCAGAAAAGGATATCAAAATACAGAATCACAACACTCAGCCAGCAACCACTACACGACGTATGTGGTTCAAGAATAGTGTAAAAATAGGCTTTTGTATAGATTATCATATCGTACAAGTACATGTCAAATGCAGAGGCGTAGAGACAGCATCTAGAACAGCACATCTTCCTCCTTCTTCTGGATAATGACCTTGCCGCCCGGCCGCACAATCCGCTGCACGCCAGGCACCTTGAAGTACAAACTCGGCGACTCACCAGGCTTCAGCTGGTCGCTCAGGTAACCACGGTGAGCCGGGTCGCGGTAGTACTCAATGTCCCAACGGCTTGTGGGATCCGGCAGCCGGCGCAGATGCGGCGCCGCGCGCAACTTGGCCACGGCAGCCTCGACGTGCTCAGGGCCCGTGGCCATGGGTGTGCTCGATATGACGCTCTTTCCCTCAAGCAGCCACTTGATCGACTGTTTCGTAAAGTAGCGCGTGACAATCTTGCCTCCTGCGGCCTCGATGGCGTCGATGGCGCCGGCCGACGCACGCGACACCAGCAGGTCGACGGGCGTGCGCAGGTCCTCTTTGCCACGGGCGAGGATCTTGATACCGTCACGGACCTTGCCAACAAGGCCCGACTCGATCAACTCGCGCGGCGTAATCGGTTTGGTGGCGTCGATGCGGCCGGCGTCGATAAAGGCCTGGAGGCGGTCGAGGTTGACTTCGGACATGACGTCGGCGCGGCTGCAGTTGTTAGTGTGAGGTCAAAGAAAAAGAGTCATACCACCGCAATATCTCCCTCGCAGGTTGTACGCACTGGTTCACAAAGCCCTTCTTGCCCCACGTCCGGATCAGCGGCGTCTGGCCGCCCTGGAACCACGGCTTGACCTTGCCGTGCTGGCCCTGGCCCTTGTGACCACGGCCGGACGTCTTACCCTTGCCCGACGAGGGACCGCGACCGACACGGATGCGCTTCTGGTGCGCGCCTTTGTTGTCCCGTAAGCTGGCCAAGATGCTAGCGTCGCGTGTCTGGATCGTCAATGCGGCAAACAGAGGCACCAACGGTGACCTGGAGGTGGTTGATGTTATCGATGAGGTAGGCCGCGCAAGCCGGGCAGCAACGGCGGCCGCCTGGCAGCAAGCTGCGACGCCCGAAAGTGCCGTTCGTGGTGCCATTGAGTCGGTTGTGTAGCCGGTGCGGTTGTCGACTCATGCGCTTGAGAATTGTCAGACCTTAATGAACTCTTTGATGTACCTCGAAAAATTCTTGGGCAAACCTGATTGGCGTATTTCATTGGTCGATGCTGCAAGCCAGGTGATGCACGTGACTACTTTAACCAGAAGTGCTAGGTTTAGGAAGCAGCAGGTGCACTGCACCAGCACAACGGCAACAGCCGGCGCCAGGTTTGCCGCGACCATCTCATCTTTGTCGTTCAGCCACCTTCGGCCCTACCTGGCGACACGGTTGGATCATGATCTAAAAGGCCCGTGCTATGGAAGCTGAGAGACATGCTTCGGTTTTGCTATTCTTGTGAATTCCTGAAATGTCTCGTATTCGCTTTTTCTTTTGGCTGCGCTCCTACTTCAGAAGTTTACCTATTTCAGTGGACTCGCCAATCTGATTCAATGTATTTGTTCCTGTTTTGCTTGCCTTGGTATCCCTTCTTTGCCTTTTCTCCGCCTTGGAAGAGCCGCCGGCAGTATTCTTTATCTCCCGGGCCGTTGCAAGGTCCTTGGCATTCTTTGTGCGGATATCTCGGGGGTAAATGGGCCTCTACAGCCTCAATTATCACATACTTTGGGAGGGAAGGCCTGCTATTGAGTTCTATTGTAAGTTTCCTAGGACGTTTATGGAAGTCTTTTCCGCTGGGAGATGAAGCATCATACGTCTTGGGTGAAACGTTAATTTTATGATTATTTTTTGGAAGGATTATTTTTTGGAAGAGAAAACCGATATAATAGGCCGTTTTATTTTGTATTAAACCCCCCTTACCAAAACAAGTTGAATAAGAAAACACGAAATAATTCACCGAAAACTGAGCTATTACATGTTCAAAATATTAAAGAAATAAATAAAAAAAGGATCTTGAAGCCTATCTTTAACAATACCTAAGCACATGTACCAATTTTACTCCTAGACGGCATAGTGCTTTTGTCAATACCTTCACATACAGCCTCATCGTTTGTCCTCATCTGGATAATTGAGTCCTTGAGATCGAGCTTCTGTCGTTACCAAACGTTCGGAAGATCGGGATGTAATTGAGAAGGACCTTTGGAGTTCCTTATTTCGACGTCATGTAATAAACACCAGCGCTGTTGTCTGCTTATTCCAAGGGCGGCTTGTTGTGTAAACGAAGAGAATCCGACGTGCGTTCCCCTTCTGAGATGCCTTGTAGTGACTTATATGAAGCCTGCGTGTCCCCTTCCCTGTGATCAGCGACTAACCAAGCCACAGTTTTCTTTGCAGCTACAAGAGAGCACAGTCGATTTGGAAATGTTGAATCAAGCCCTTTTCGTCACCCTCGTGGGCGTTGCCGTGCAGGCTGCCCAACATGACGGAATCTCCATGGAACCTCCAATCTTGCCACAGGTCAACAACCTGGTGTTCTCGGGCGCTGGTTGTTCGCAAGGAACGGCCAACGCAACCTGGAGCCCGGCCAGCTGGTCCGACTGGACCGTCAGTTTGCACGACTTGAATCTTGAAGCCACTGGGAAACCCGGTCCAGGAGGACTGCCATCCGAGTCAGACTGCACAATCCATGCCACATTTTCAAACACCTCACCCGGTTGGCAGTTGGCCCTCGAGACAGTGTCCATCCGCGGCTATGCGGCGCTAAGCAGTGGGAGCTCCATCTCGGCGGCGGCAAGCGTGTCATGGGCATCAACCGCTGGAGCTTCTGGAACTGGGCACAAAACGGCGGCACCTGCGCCAGCCGAGCGCAATGTGTCGCTGACCAACAGCCGGACAATGGACGAGGCAAGTGCAATGGGAGCGCTGCTGGACTTTTCCAGCGTACCAGTGTGGTCGGGCTGCTCAGATGGAGCCGAGCTCGGTAACCTGGCTCTCAGATTCCGCTTCGGAGTGCATGTTCAGACCAACTCGACAAACGGCTATGCGGCCTTCGGCGGCCTCGTCGATGACGGCCATGGTGAGATCTCTGCCCGGCCTGCCGTCGTTCAGCGTCTGCAGTGGGCGTGGCGTTCGTGCCATGTCACCATGGGCTCGACGACATTCTTTCCAAAGCCCAAGACGACAACACAGGCGACTACCGTATCGACAAACTCGACGGCATGGACAACCGCGGCATCTGCCAACACGACAGCCGCAACAACAACAGTAACGACAGATGGAAAGGCCCCCCCATTTGGCAACTCGACAACGGCGTTGCGGAGCCATCCGACTCGGACGGCTACAACCAAGAGCAGTAGCTTTTCCTGGATCACCTCGACGCAGACTGCCAGCAGCTGGCACAACACGACGACACCGCTCTGGACGAACGGCACAAGCACTGGCAGCACGTCTCGGGCAGCATTGTTGCCGACACAGAGGTAGTCAGTGGTGTAAGGGCGATGGGGAATCGAGGGAGCAAGAGAAGTTGACATGAATGGAAGCACATCCAAGGAGGGCTGCTGATATTTAATAATCGCGCTGCTTAAGTTTCTGGAGTACAATAATTAGAAAAGGAAAATATAACAAAGAGAAAATGCTCATGTTCACTCGTCATCGTCGCTGTCACTGCCATAGTCGACTAATGCGGCCGCCGGCTTCGCCTCCTTAGCAGTCTTGATAACCAGCCCGTTCGAGCGTTCCCGCTGTCGTGCCAGAGCCGCTAATGTGGCACTGGAGAGGACACCGCGCGCTGCTGGCGGCTCTTCTGGTGCTGCCTCCAGCTGCTGTCCTTGTGGCTGCTCTCCTTGTGCTTGGTCATCACGCGCATGGGCCTCCCCACCGTCCCGGCTCTCTCTGTCCGCCCGCTCCCGTGCGAACCACACCGCGTCCGGCGCCTCGTACCCTTGCAACCCGAATCCGCCCTCGATCCGACGCCGCTTGGACGCATCCGGGTCCCGGCCCTCGAGCTCGGCAATGTAGTCTGCTGGCAGGATCGCGCGAATGGCCGCGGCCGCCTGCTCCTCGACGCGCCGGGCCTCGCGCGCCTGCGCCATGGGGTTGGGGTCGACCGTGGCCCAGCGCACATTGAGAATCTCTTCGTGGTCGAGCGACTGGTGGGCCATGGCCTCCTTGGCGAACTGGGCGTTTGCCTCGTTGGTGTAGGTGACGAACGCAACACCGCGCGTGTTGAGGACGCGCGTGCGCTCAATCTGCCCCCACTCAGCAAAATGGCGGGCGACGACCTCTTCAATGTCGTCGGACACATGGATGCGGCCAATGTAGATCGTGCGGTTAGGCCGCAAAAAGGAGCCGACGCCGCCCATGTCGTCGCGGTAGTCGGAAAACTTGTCGCGGCCAAAACAGTCGACGTTGGGGTTGAAGATGTCGGTGACTGTGGGGAGGCGGTGAAGGTAGGGGCAGTCGCTTCCCTTGGGGCAGAGGCCGCGCGCAAAAAAAGAGGCAAAAGTAGGAACCCGAAATGTTGTCGGCGAGGGTGTAGCCCGAGTCCTTGGCCACGTTGCACCGGCCCTTGGCGGCCGTCGAGCTGGCCGCACCGCTTTCCCGGTCGCCACCACTCCACTTGTTGTACCATATGCTGTTTTGTTAAAGCATGTCCTCGTAAACAAAGTTAAAGACAAGGGTGTTGGGAGGGGGGGGGGGGGGAGGAAGGACCTACTTGAAGGTCACGCCCGTCTGTGGTGGTGGCTCGGTGCGGAACGTCGCTGGGTCGACCTGTGGACGAGCAGGCCTCCGCTTCCTCCGGATTATTTTGCGTCCTTTTAATGGTTCTACTGCTGTTGTCGGTTCTGGCCCTGCTGCTGATGTTGTCGTCGCAAGTGCTGTCGCTGTGTCGGTTGGGATGTTTGTCTCTGGAGACCGAGACCCCGTCGCTGTCGGCGCCGGCGCTGGCGCGGTTTCGCTGGAAACATCAGCCATGCCTGTGATGTATACGATATCTAGATGAGTCTAAAGTCGTAAAAAAAGACGCTTTCAATCTGGTATGATGCGCAATCGCCTGTTCCGTTCTTCGTGATTTTGTTGTGTCTACGTTGAGATGGTAGCCTCCCGTCGCGCCTCAAACAGAAATTGCCGCCTCACACCGCCAAATTTCTTATCGCCACTTATCGAATGATTGAGCACGTGATCACAATTTATTTTAAATAGCGCCTACTGGCCCTGCCCTGAAGACCATTTGGTCTCATTGCTATTGGACCCTTTTACTGTGACTGCGGAATATTGCAGTGCGTTAAATCGGGCATGTCAACGAAGTACTTGGGGTAGGGCATCGCCCGTAGCTGTACAGGGCCCAGGAGTAGTCAATCAGCAAAAAAGGGTTTTTGTAAGTGCTGTTTTCGGAAGTTACGCCAGAACGGTCATGACTAGGCGCCAAAGTGTCTTGTCGACATCATGACATGTGGATATGGCTGTGCCACCTCAGTCGACGTCGTGTGTCTCGTTTCCACTTCCACGCTGTTCACGTAATACTCTGTTGGCTATCGAGGGTCTGTTACTCAGCTCTCGTCGTCACATCTGGCAGCTTCTTCGAACCCACGTCCTTCTGTCCTTTTGTCGTTTTGCGTGTCTACTTGTCGTCCCTAACACGACAAACTCCCCCTCCTTAGTTTTGACTAGACGAGAGGACGATTCCACTGACAAAGCGAAAAGGGGCTTTCACGAGCAGCTTTCCGTACGTTTGTTGCTTCCCCGACATGGACTTGTCGGTCGTGCTCGGCCCCTTGATTCCCACCTTTACTCCGCATTCTGTGGGGGACAAAAGAGGAGAGGACTGCAAAATTGGCTTGTGACAGTCACGCATGCCGAGGGATGATCCGTAAAGTTGAGGCGAACAAGGGGAAATAGGGGGATTAAGCAGCTAAAGCAGCCTAAAAAGGAAGACAACCAGATCAAGACGACGAGGTGCAGCAAGATCGAAAAGGGGCCATGTTCCTGCATGCAAATAGGCTAGCGGTGTTGGAGGCCGGGGCAAACTGAGGAGACGTGACAAGACGACCATCTCCTATTATTTTTCTGGTTAGTAGGTTGGGTTAGCTTTCCATTTTGGAGCAATTTATTTTTTGATGGGTATGGGGTAGCAAAAAGTACGGGGAAAACTTGGCGGGTGCTATGAGATGGTCATCTAGAACTGGAAACCTGGCCGACGATGCATCGTAGAAATCATGCAGTACAACAACGGCACAAGCCGACGAACCTGTGATGCCCTCGGTTTGGTGGCCAAAGGAGGCAATGAACCTGAAAGAAGGGGTGTGCGCAAACTTGAAGCGGTCTTTGTTGCCTCTTAACTTTTTCCATTTTTGTCTTCTCGCCGATTATCTTTCATGATTTCTGTTGTTGTTTTGTTTCGTCGTTTTGCTGTTTTGCTTGTGCTCTCCTGTGTTGTCCACGGTCTTTTCCGGCTAGTAGAATATTTTGTTCTAGACAAGGCCTGGTCAGAACCGTCTTGCGTCTTTGGTAAATGAGCGATCGGCACGATCGTGAGCTGAAGCAAACTTGACTTCTTCCGACAAGGTGACCGCATGCTTTTGCGGTGGAACATTCTGGGCTCGATGGTACATACCCGCCTGGATAGAAGTTGTGCAAACATACTTTTACATTGATGATTTTTTCTCTAGTTGTAATTAACTGACGAAAATTATCCAAAGAAAGAGCAAGAACGAAAAAAATATATACCGAGCCAGAGACACCATACGTGAAAAAAGTGCAAGTCGGTTAAAAAAGAACAAACGAACGACCCAACGCCTGGCAATGGAGTAACCGTTATACTTGAAAAGCTTGTACAAGAAGACCAAGACATACGTCGCAGAGCCGCACCAAATACATAAATCGGCGTATCAAAGCCTGCGTGGAAACAATATAGAAAAACCAAATCCCTCCCAAGCTCACAGAAAAGACATAAAAGCCAAAAAAACAAACAAACTGGTATTTCCCGTATTCAGATATTCTTGTATTGATGCCGACAAGGAATCAAAAGTAGAAGCAAAAATTTGAAATAGAGAGGGCCAGGAAAAAAAGACGTTGAAAGGGAACCCTTAATTATGCACATGAAAGTGTAAAGTGGCAAGTGGAAAGTGAGCGGAGGCACGAAATGGGCCGTATGAACGAGAAAGACTAAGCATGCTCGCCTGCTTCCCCCTCAACAGGGAAATGACTGCGTAAGAAAGAATGGACACTAGACTGCGTCCTTTCCTACTCCAGACGCTGTGGGTCTTCCGGCCGCCGTGCTGCAGTCGGCTGGGAGGGCGTTGTGTCGCCGCCAAGAGCCCACTTGTAGAACTTGGCCGGCCAGCGGACTGCGGGCTCGTCAACGTATTTGGTGACCAGGTTGGCCAAGATGAATGTCGCAGGGAAAATGATGATCTGGGGAGCCAAAAAGTTGAGCTCCAGACCCATGGGACCCGTCTTGGGAAGCTGGAAGCGGTTGATCCACCACTCCAGCATCTTATCGTGGTCCTCCACAACACGGTACCATCCGGTCATGGCGTAGACGCGGTCACCAATGGACGCGAGGACCGGTCCGTGTACCAGGTACAAGGAGTACGAGATACGACCCAGGTACTGGCAGAAGGAGGACTCGAAGAAACGCTTCAACACAGGGATGTGCGGGGTGGTGCCGACAATCATGCCGGCAGCAAAGACGAGGTAAAACCACTTGGGATCAAAGACAGCCTGCGGTTTCAGGAACGACAGGTAGTACCAGCCTGGGTTGGAGCGGAGAAGCATAAGGTCGTTTTTCTGTGACGGCACGCCGGCCAGGAACATGCCGATGACGAAGAGCGTGTAGACAATAAAAGTCTTGTACGGCTGTAGCTTGTGGAGAATCGCAGGGAAGCCGGGGTCGTTGCGCTTCGCCAGGATGTCCAGATAACAGAAGTAGATGCCAACCGTAAACATGCAACAGTAGTAACCGTCGACAATGTAGAGGAAGTAAAACATGAGGCCGAGGATAATGACATGGCGGGCAAAGTGCGTCGTTCGGTAGGTGGCGAGCATCAACAAGAAACATATCATGGAGCCGCGCATCTCAAACGGAATCGACCACAAGTGGGTGTTCATCGTAACCCAGATGCTACCTTCTTTAAAGAGGAACGTGAAATTCTTCAGCTCGACGTACCACTCCCACCATTCCTCGCCGATGGTGGCGTGTTGAGTCGAGTTGGAGACCCAATAGTGGCCGAAGATGTGCCATGAGGTGACGTAGAGGAACGTCGTGATAAAAATAGGAATGTAAAGACGGAACCAGCGGCGGAAGACGGAGGAGGCCAGGCTGTCCAGCAGTTTCATGTGCTCGCCCGCCACGATCAGGGAGAGGCCCTTGGCGCACAGCACGTATCCCGATATGACATAGAAGAGCGCCACTGCTATGTGGCCGCCGGTGAAGAAGTTGCGGACAAACGGCAGCGTCGCAAAGTGGTAGCGATCCTTGAAGCCAAAGGCGTTCTCAAACGTCTCGTTGTCGCCGTTAGGACTGGCCGCGTGCGCCCAGAGCTCATTATGATGAATATACACCAAAAAGGCAGCAAAGCCACGCAGGCCGTCGAGGTAGGCTGTCGGACGGAGTGGCTTCTTCTCGCCGTCCTCGTCGGCCAGGCGGCAGGCGTTCCAGAACGACCGCAGAAAGCGCCGCATAGGGCGGGCATTCGGCTTTTCGTTGGACCACGCGCCGTCGCGCCAGACGGGAAGCTCGTGGGTTTCGACCGGAGCGTTGCCGCCGTCGAGCAGCCCGCTGCTCGTCATTGTAGGTTTGTATTGGGGTAAAAAGAAACAACTAAGAAACTGCTGTCCGGTTCGAAACGATAGTCGAGGGGAGGGGAGTAGAAGCACCAGATGGCGATGGTGGTCGCTGGGTTGGCTGTGGAGGAGAAGGTCGGAGGAGGACGGCGTAAAGAGCCTGCTGGTGTTGATTGAAGGACAGGCGAAAAAGATTAGATTAGGGGCTGAGAAGGCAAAACGGCAAAGGAAAGAGGAAAGAAGCGTTGCCGGCGTGAAGGCAAGGGCCCAAACAACGAAACAAGAAAGAGCGAGAGAAGAAAAAAAAGCTGAACAAGTTCCAAAGGGAAAGGGGGCAAGGTGAGGAAAGTGAGATGGAGAGAGGAGAAAAGAGGTAGGAGGTTGAAAGAAACTAGAGGTGAGAGCAATGGGGTGTCGAGATCCACAAGCGACAGTAAAATGGGACAGCCCGCTTGTAGTCGGCGCGACAAGTTTTTGTCTTGTGCTTTGGGGGTTCTGCAGTCTGGTGCTTTCAGTCGCCCACTGTATGACGCCAGTATGGACTTGCACAACATGCAGAGAGTATGTCAAGTACCTTCTCCGCACCTGGTGACAGATCGATCTTCTTGCTTCGATGGCGATGGATATCAAGCCACTTGTTCACTGGCAACACTTCTGTATGGCTGGCTAGCAAACAAAAAGTGCATGTGATAATCCAGCGGGTTGCGGTGCTGCAGTAGCGGCTGCAAGAAGGAACACAGAGTGGCTAGCTAAAGTCAAAGTAAGATACAGTTTTGTGCTGAATAGTTCCTCGTCCGTGGTTCTAGTCATGTTTCGTGTCGTGCGCACCGCCAACTGTCATCGCCAGCCAGTTGTTTTGACTGCTGGTCGGTGTTCAAGACGATTTGCACAAGTACACATGGACCACGGGGTCGCGAATCGGGACGGAGGAACACGGCGAGCAACTTGGTTGTACTGCAGAAAGCGCAACTCAAGTCTCCATTTTGGAGGCTGTCTTCATATGCCAAGTTCGCGCCAGCCACTTCTGTTCCCTGCGAGCCTACCTCCCCAGCTCCCTTCTTTGTACGTTGCAAGAAAACTATGGCTAGGCCGCTGATGAGGATGCGCGATGCAGCGACAGCAGGGTTGCATTCAAATTCAAATCTGTGTGAGTGTGGGAACGACGAGGAGGCTCGACAGGCTGACAGGGTCTGAAATAGGGGCATGCCTGAAGTACCGAGTACGTTGTAGTGTAATATATGCCGGTGCTGTCGCTCAAGTCGCTGCAAATACAGGAGGCAATAATTCGTAGGACGTGGATCACAGTGCGAAGGAGCGGGGGTGAGCGTATCAATGCCGACGCAGAAGCTGAATCCGTATTTGTTTGCGTCGGCATGAGGCAGAGGCACGCTTACTGTGTAAAAAGGTCCTTGCGACCACTCCGAATGTGGCGGTTTTGTTGGCGATCCAGATGAGTACGCACCCCGTGCGGACTTAGCGAGCCGCGTCTGACTCCGTATTTGTACCTACGAATATATCTCCAACATACTCTCTTTGGAACGTCGTATCTCTCCTTGTTTTCAAGTGTTTCTGGGAAGGGAGAGCTGCCCGGGCCGCTACAGGAAAGGGATATACCATTGAGGTCGAATTAAGGAGATCCACCGAAGCCTGTAGGCGGACACTGGAGGTATCGGCGTGCGTTGGAGCGTTTGTTGTATGGACATTAGGCCAGATATCGGATGAGACAATGCAGGCATCGGGTTGCATTTGAAGACGGAGCGAGAATACAGAATGTTCGAACGGAATATGTACCGCGTACGGCGTACAATGCTTTGTATGTTGGAAAAGCATTCTTCCTCAGTGCGGCTGCGGAAAAGCCACATTGGCGCCAGGGCCCATTTGTGCAGCGCTTTTGATTGCTGCAGGGGCAGTCTTTGCAGGCCCGATCACGAAAAGGTGACTCGACACACCTCGCACAGCATTTGTGTATGAGACACCCATTACACATCGTGGCACGCAGCTAGATCAAGGAACATATACATGTTGTATGATTAACGACACGGATGAGCCCTCACGATTCTTCTTGTGCAACGACGATGAGGGCGTTTACACACAGTGCCCAATACATGACGCACAGTATTGGACTGCGCACAGGGGGCGTGGCAAAGTGCGCCGACCCAGGTAAGTGGGCTGCAGAACAAAATGAAAGGGCGAGCCCAGAAAAATTAAACAGCAGGCGATTCATTGATGCTGATCATGGAGGATTTCCAAATAAGGAGGGCACGGGCGTGCTGGCCAATGGGAGAGGCTATGCGCAACGGAGATCCCAACACAACGGCAAGACAGTGCCATGCCAGTTTGTCATTGCCAGGCTCGCCAGGGAACAATGGACGTTCGTCAACCTATCAGCCATTTGGGAGACTTGGACAGACTTTGTGTATGCGAGGGTCACGTTGTAGAATTGCCAGAAGCGGTCATCTCCTGACAGAGATGCACGTAAGGCCAACGAGAAGGGGAATCGACGAAAGGGGGGCAGGAACAGACAGAAAAGAACCATGGCGACAAACTACACCGGAATAGTACAAATTGAAATAGCGAATACGGGGAAGGTGGAGGAAAATGGGGCTAGAAGCTCGAGCGAAAACAAGACACGAAAAAAACAAAATCTGTCTCTAGTTTTGCCCAGCAGAATGCGCGAAAGAAAAAGGTTGGCTCCGCTAATGCTTCGTTGCATCTGGTCCGGCCCCATTATTTTGTCGAAAATGGAAGGAGGACGACGGTCCAGCGGAAAAAAATATATGGAAATATCAGAGGCATGGCATTCAACAAAGGGAGATGGGCGAAGACAGGCTGCGTGAAATTCAATGTCAGCAATGCTTCAAGGCAGAGACGAATTTAGAATAAATGAAGAGACGCGGGCTAACTGAGACAAAAGCTGAGGGGAACCAGCAAGCAAACAAACAAACAAACAAGCCGACAGACAGACAAACTCGCAGAGTAAACAGAAGAGACAAAGAGGCAAAGTGAATAATAAATGGTTGGAACGTAAAAACTGGGACGGAGTGTTGCGTTTTGTCTTACGTCTCTGACCGTCACACACACAGCACACACAACGAGCCAAAAATAGGAAGGCACCGTGGCCGTCTTGGAAGCAAGCCTCTTCGATGTTCTGAATTTTGTGAGCCAAGTCTCGCTCGGTCCCCACACTCCACTAAAGAAAAGTACCATCTCCGAGCCCACAACCAGATTGTTTACGACGTAGGCTGCGATGTACGGCTAACGGATATGGATGAGACACCATATTACAGTGCCGCGCGCGTTTTGATTAGCGCGGCGGTGCTTGCTTTATTGAGACTCTATTCGCTCCCGAAAAGAGAGTTTGAAGCCTAGATATGATAATACAAGGCAGTCTGAGGCGGTGTCCAGAATGCATCGTCTTTCGAATATGCACGAAATTGAAGCGGGAGACGTAAACGATCAACGCGAGGACAACCCGAAAAAAACCGCCAAAATTATTCAGGGGAACAAAGCAGAGAATAAAAGGGCTTGGCACTGGCTCCACTCCCTCTCCCACGGAATACGACCAAGTTACAGCGTAAGGAAAGTACACGCATCCACGGACAACCTATGCTGTATGTCTGATTGGCTGGCCGAGGATGGATGGCCCTTTCATGCCTTCAAAGGCAGAAAGCTCAGCACAGCGACATCCGTGGCTTAGCTATGTCGCCGGTGAGTCGGTAGGGCAGAGCAGGGCCATGGTTAACTTCGGAGACCCCCGTGCAGCGGCATGGCTCTCACTGCCATCTGCTGCAGTAAGCATACCACCTCCTTCTGCCACTGTCCACGCAGCCACTCCGCATTCGTGTTGGGGCCGTTGAAGCGCGACGCGCATCTTGGAAGGGAATCCTGTTTTAGGTGCTTCCAGGTACGACATACCAGGCGTTCTTCTCACAACCATATAATATCTACGACATGCGGAATACCTGTTTTGGGGATGAATAGCCAGAGGTCTCTTACCTGAAGATATTGACGTAACACTTATCTTGGCACATTGCGCGTCGCGTCTGTTCCCGTCCGTCAACCCTCGACAAATACATCTCAGAAAGTAACAGTGGCAAGAATTGAAGGACACCGTGCCGCGAGAAACTCATGTACCCTGCCTCAACGGCCAGGCGGCGCTCTAGGCGGAAGAAGGAAGGGTCTGGCTTTGAATACTTCTACATCGTAATTGGCTGCCGTGCACGCCTCGCCGACAGCCACAGGCATAACTGCATAGTGTATGTTGAATGTTTTTGTACCAAATCGTTAACAAAACAGGCATGTGACGGAGAGGCTGCGAGGAACTTTTCATGCGCTGTGAGTTGCCATGGCATGAATAAGGATCACAGTCGAAAATAAAAATAAAATAAAACAAAACAAAACAACAAGAACCCCTCCGTTTGCGGACATGAACCCTTGGTGGCGGTGATGCATAAACTCTCTAACCAGGTCCTTCGAGGTCTTGATGGCTGGTAATGCCGTGCGATAGGACATGGCGATACGAATAATCTGCTGTGTCTGGTAGTTGCACGGGACCTGCGCCTTCCTTGCCGAATGTCTCTTCGTATCGTGCTCCGTATCTCATAGTCGGCACGGCACTTGCGGCCCCGGTCAAGTCTTTGGCGATTCCTCGTTCCTTCCTTTGCACTTCATCCGTGTCCGCGACGGGCGATGCAACGGTCGTCTTTGCAGTCTATCAGTGCTGGCTTCCGTACCTTACAGTCAAGCGAGGCCACATTGTGCTTCCAGACGCTGGGCCCAGCACGAGAAAGGGGGGCAGCAATTACGGCAAAAATTTAAGGAGCTAGTAGTACAGCAGCACCAAAACTTTTTTTTTTTAAAAAAAATGACAATGGCGAAACTTTCAAAATCGCAAAGAATAAAAGGGGTAGGCATGGATTGGCCCGGCCAGGCCTTGTTCGCCATGCATATCACTTTATCTCCCATCTCTTTTCTCCTTGCGGTAGGCACCCCCTGGTCTGGTCCTTCCCCGTCAACGGATGCTCCGCCCTTCTCCTCTTTTACACGAGGGTTTGCGAAGCTTCTTTTGTTACGGCCTATTCTGTATTTCTTTTTCTTTTTTCGAAAAAAATAAGATGCAAGAAAAGAGCCGTAGGTCGTTTATCTCCATTGACAGCCACATCTCGGTCCTCGCTCGGTACACCCAGATGGCCTGGCCACTCCCGCAAGTCCCACGCCACAACAGGGCTCGCAGGGGTGCGCTTGATGAACACCCTCCTAGCCAGGTATGCCCTGTCAATACAAGCCCACCCAGTCTGCACAATGAAATTTGCAGTATCTCACGCAATCGTCGTCTGCCCCGTCTGCCCATCTAGCCCATCTCCAGTTCCCCAGTGCCTGCCGCTAGCCAAAAAGACCGCGAGAGTGGTCTAATTCCAGTCGCTCTGCTTCACACATTACGGGGGCGTGTAATTTGGCGCTAGCGTAAGAGCCCAAGAGCCCCAAAGCCAGCCCCTGTCTGATTTCTGCGTGCGTACGCTAATTGCACGCCCATCATCCGCCGCAGTTCCTGGTCGTGCCCTGCTGCCCTACTCAGTACGCAGTAATAACGACTGGCAAAAGCTTGTGAAAGTGTCTGCTGCCAGTTTCGAGTGGCGCTCCTGCCTTGTTTGTTTCCTCTCGCGACTTTCTTGCCTCTGACGCCCGGAATGACCATTCACATTGTCCTTGTTTTTGTCCTCTCTGGTTCTTTCGTTTTCCCCGGTATCGTTCTTTCCACTTCCTTTCCTCCACCCTCCACACCACTACTCGCACCTTCCCTTCCATATCCCGCAACCAGGAACGGTCCTGCTCGCTAATTGCCTGTGCACCGTGCCACTATCGACACACTTTTTTCTCTTTCATCCGCTCTTTCCTTTGCTGGGCGCCGCTTGTCGTTATGGCTTGACAATCGGCCAGTGGCTCTTTCTGTATGTCGTATTACCTGTCCTCCAAAGCCACAGTTGCCATTGTCTCCACGTGAGCACCATCAATTGCCAGGTGGACCAGCTCTCGTTTAATGAAGCACCTAGACTAAAAGGCACCGTACTGATACAGTGCGCGCCAAATGGTAGCAGGAGCCAAGAGCCACACGATAAATCAGCGCCTTCCTAATCTGCACGCCCCTCCCCATCCCCTAATCCAAAAAAATCTTTCCCTACTTTCGATATCGTCCCACCTCTCGCGCCTCTCCCCAGCGCCCGCTTACATTCTGTTTCTCGTTATTTTCCCTTTTCAATCCTCGATTATTTTGGCCTGGCTTTGGTGGTAACCACCCCCTATCTCCCTTGGCCGTCCCTCCGCCTTGCTCTTTTCCGCTCCACTTCCTCCTTTTCTCGTGTCCGTTTTCTTTACCTAGTTCGCTTTTTCTCTCTCCTATCCTCTCTACTCTTTCTTTTCTTCTATCCTTCCCCCCTTACATCTGTCGTTTTTTTCTTCCTTCCTCACGTTTTCTCTCTATTCTTCTTCTGCCGCCGCCTTTCGTCTTTTTGTTTGTCTGGTTGTCAACTTTTCCCTTGCCGTCGCGCAAGGCTTACGTTCGTTACGCTCGTTTTTTTCCCGACTCTTGACGAGGCTGGGTTCGCTGACCCCATTGCCACCTTTTATCTCATCGCCATCTCCCAAGACAACGCGCACGCGCAGACATGTCCCAGCATTCATCACGCTCGTCATCTATCACCGAGAAGATGACGCCTCCGGGCTCCCCGCGAACACCGGCGTCGGCCTTCGCAGCCACCACAGCTAAAGCCATGACTTTCATGCCAAGTATCCCCGATTGGATCCCAGAATCGGTCCGGCAGAAGCTCCAGTATGCCCAGCTCGTCTACGTGCAGACGTACAACAAGGCTTCGCCTATCGTCGCGCACTACTACATGGACGTGTCCAAAAACATGCCGGTGGGCATTCCCGCACGCCTACGCAGACTCGCCAACGTCTACGCCGTGGTCGTATGCGTTTTGTTACTCTTCGTGCACCTGAGCATGTCCTCGGGTTCCGCAGCCGCCCACCGTGCGGCCACTTCTGTTGGCACCGTCCACAGCGACTTCCCCCACAAGATTTGGCAGACGTGGAAGGTCAACCCGCTCGAGTTTGAGGAGCGGGAGCACAACACCGCGTACTCGTGGCTCGCCCGCAATCCCGACTACCAGTACGAGGTCTTGACTGATGGCAACGAGTATGCCTACGTCGAGTTTCACTTCGGTCCCGAGGGTTTCAACCGCCCCGACATTGTCGACTTCTACCGCAATGTGCGTGCGACCATTGTGCGCGCCGATCTGCTCCGCTACATGATTATGTATGCCGATGGTGGTGTCTACGCCGACATCGACGTGGAGGCCCTCAAGCCAATGAGCAAGTTTATTCCCGAGCGGTACAACAAGCGTGACATTGACATGGTTATTGGTGTTGAGATCGACGAGCCCGACTGGAAGGACCACCCTATTTTGGGCCAGAAGTCGCGGTCGTTCTGCCAGTGGACGTTCATGTCCAAGCCACAGAACCCCATCATGATGCGCCTCATCGAGCAGATCATGGCTTGGCTGCATGGCGTCGCCGACAAGCAGAAGGTGTCCATCTCCGAGGTCGTCCTTGACTTCGACGAGATCATTACTGGTACCGGCCCGTCTGCCTTCACCAACGCTATCCTGGACCACATCAACCGAGGCCGCTCTGGCAAGAACTTGATCACCTGGGATTACTTCCATGACATGAGCGAGTCCAAACTCATTGGCGGCGTTCTGGCCCTGACTGTCGAGGCATTCGCTGCTGGCCAAGGCCATTCCGACTCTGGCAACCACGATGCCCGTGCTGCTCTTGTCCGTCATCATTACCATGCGTCCAACTGGCCTAGCCGGCATCCCCGCTACCGTCACCCCGTGTACGGTGAGGTTGAGAAGTGCAACTGGGTCGATGACTGTGTTAAGCAGTGGGATGCCGACGTCGCTGACTTCAAGAAGCTCAGTGAGAAAGAGCAGCGTGAGCGCATTGAGCAACATGAACGCGAAGTCAAGGAACAGGAGGCCAAGGACGAGGAGGACCGCAAGCAGAGGCAGCGGGAAGAGGAAGAGGAGCGTGAGCGCCGCGAACAAGAAGAAGAGGATGAGCGCCGGCGGAAAGAAGAACAACAGCGCAAGGAGGAAGAGGACCGTCGCAAGAAGAACAACGAGAACAAGGGCAGCGAGCGCAAAGAGGGCGACAACAATGAGAACAAGGACAACAAGAGCAAGGACAACAGCAACAACAAGAACAACAACGACAACAACAACAACAACAATGACAGCAACAAGGAGAAGGAGGGCGACAAGCGGAACTAATGAGAAACCTAATGAACGAAAAGGCCGAGGCTCCAGAAGCCTTTTGGTACGACACAGTTCGTTACGACAAAGAGGGACAAACGTGACGTCGTCGGTCGATGATCCACGTGGATCTATTCGCCAATATATATCAGCCGCTTCCGAGAAGCATGCAATCTGATTGGATACCGACTACCCGCCGAACAACGGTGCGACAAGAGCCAGAATTCACCAACACCAGGTGTCACGTGTCCATTGTCTGTTTTATCCCTCTTACCTTTTTCCGCTTTCCGCTACAATTCTCGTCGTCTTGTTTCGTGTTTCAGCAATCTTATAATCTTGGAAAGACACGTTCGGTTGTGTCGATCCAGACGCAGTTTGGAGCATTTACGCCGGTTGGGTACATATTTCTTTTCCTGGTGGATTTAAATAATGCGATCTTAGATACTCTAATATCTGGTCTTGCTTGGGGGATGCGGATCGGAATGATTTTTTTTTGTCTTCTTTTTTCATTTTCTTTTCTCCTTTTTTGATCTTGGAGTCCTACACCCTCCATCAGCTGGCTCATTCTTTTTTTGGCCTACTTTTGCGCGATCTGTTTGGATTTCGAGGCGTCTGCAACACCTAGGAGTTTCATTGGCATGGGGAGTTAAATGATTTACTCTTTTTTTCTTTGTATGTTACTGTTCTTGGGATTATACATTTTTTGAAGATTTTACCTTGCTTCTCGACAGAACGAGGCAAGCGATCTTGGGAGATATTCTGGCAGTACATTCAATACCAAAACCTTTAGACACAACTTTGCTGCGCTGCCGCACTTTTGGATATCTTGAGCATTGTTTTGTAAGAATGTTCCTATTTTCGACAGGTGTTACTTTTAGCTTCTGATATGCTTTTGGTTGCTGACTGCCACGCCGGCCACGTCCGCCGAAATGACCCCTTTACGATTTACGGGCAATGCATGCCGTGACCAGCGAGCTGTCAGTCCACGAGTTTCCGTTCTTGGTCGGCACCTCGCTGAGCTCGTACGTGGCCGGGCTGAAGGAACCGGCAGACCAGCCGACGTAGCCAAGGAACACATCGGCGTTTTGGCTGTCGGTTAGCAACGACGTACGACATTGAAGACCAAATCATGGTGGGGAGAGGGATGGACCTACTTCAGGAACTGGATCTGGCTGCAGAGGTACTTTTGGCACGAGGCCGTGTTGCCGCCGCCAGTCTCCGAGTTGAGCGCCTGGCGCTTGTTGGCGCGCAGCCAGGTGGCCAGGGGCTGGAAGGCTTTGCTGATGTTGTCGGTGACGCACTCGGTGTGTGTGCCGGAGTTGTCCGAGTCGAGGTACTTGTGGACGTCGAAAATGAGGCCGTCAAAGGAGCCGTCAGGGTTCTTGACCTTGAGGAGGGCCGGGCCGGACTTGGTGGACATCTGCTCGGCAGAGGTCCAGTCGTTGCCGGGCAGCAGGATCATCTGCTTGGTGGCGACGGCACGGATGGCCGTCACGGCGGCCTGAACGGAGTCGGCCCACTTGTTGATGTCGGGCACGTCGTGGGGCTCGTTCATGATGCCAAACACAATCTTTTGCTGGCTGGCATACTTGGTGGCAAGCTGCGACCAGAGGTCGGCAAACTGCTCGTTGGTGGGCCCGCCCTGGCCGATGATCTGGTTGTTCCAGCGGGCGTAGTTGTGGATGTCGACGATGCAGTAGGCGCCAGTGGCCAAGCAAGCCTGGACGAGCTGGTCGTACTTGCCAGCATTGTTGCCGTCGAGCTTGCCGCCAAGGTTGTTGTTCAGGAGGTACTGCCAGCCGACGGGCAGGCGGAAGATGTTCATGCCGTCGTCCTTGACAAAGTGCTGCATCTGGCCGGCACTGGGGGAAAGGGGACGTGTGCGTTAGTGGAGGTCCACTAGAGGATGTCTCACAAGACGATGCAAGAACATGTATATATATAAAGAAATAAAAGACTCACCCGTCAGGGCCACCAAGTGAAGACAGAGGAGGGTATGCCTGAGTGATGTTGTCGACTCCCTATTGTCGGATGTCAGCTAATCGATTTCACAGATCGGTTCTCGGAGATGCTGCTGTCCAAACGCCACTCACCGTGATAGAGCAGCCGAAATCAAAGCCGGCAATGTTGGTGCCCACTGCAGGCAAGTGTCAGCAAAGTGCGCGGTTGAGCCAGGTCCACCCTCAGCCATATGGTTTTCACATACCAAACTGGACACCGCTTGTGGCACGGCCTGCTGGCAGAGCAGAGGCGGCTCCGGCCAGGGCCAGAGCTGTTGTGAGAGCAAACAACATCGTGATGAAAGTCGAAGCGGACGAAGGGGAGTCAGAGGCGGCAGGCAATGAGGTCCTTGCGATTGACTATCCGTGAGGGAGATGGAGGGAACTGGACAAGAGTCTTGTTTGTATACTCGACGTGGCTGACTTGGCTTGCTGTGTGAGAGGGACAAGATCTCGTGTCAGGAACAGGGGCACATCTTCCATATATACTGCTGCTTCCTTCTGCGTCTCTCACCTTGACATTGTCCATGCACGGGTACCTTGGCCGTACCACCCCCGGAACCAGGCCTCAGTTTCTCAATTGTCTCTCTCATACCCATAGTTCACGGATACTGCATCCGTGTACCGTTTATCCCATGCGTCAAGCTTTACTAGGCGAGGGATGGATATACTGTAGTCTTGTTAAAGGTTCTCCTTAGTATTGTTTCATTGATATGCTCGTCTATTGAGTGTCGAGAAGGGCCGAGAAAGCTTATTTGGGCCCATGTCTGTACGGACCGACTGGGACCTGAATTAATAAAGGAGAGGAGGGGAGAGACCATGGGGTATTTTTTTTTCTTGCTATCCGTCCACGGCCGTAACGCTGAGTGTTGACAGCGTTGACCTCGGGCTGGCCTGACGGGAATGTAATTATTGAAAATATTGAAAAAGACAGCGGTGGGATAGCACCTTTCTCGTCCCGTTTCGGTTGAAGTAATGCCATTTTGTAATGCCGGTCTCCGTTCTGTGCTCCTTCTAACGAAAAGACAACTGCTTTTTTTTGTCCCAAGCCATAAACCAATTTGACAATAAATGCAGTTACTGACAAGAAGCAGAGTGTTCATTCTGTCCATGGAATGAAAAAGGTCAGTGCATCATTCGCACGACGTTATTCCGTTATAAGAACGAAGTAGAGAAAAAAGAGCCGAAATGGCCAATTTACAAATGTTGGCGGCGGAAGATGAAAAAAAAAAAAAATAATAATAATAATAATATATATAATTAAATAAAGGTACAGCTTATGTTGGCGGGTGGCAGATTAACAAGATGTGGGGTTAATCGAACCGAGGAAACGGGGGACGGAAGAAAAGGAAATCATAACAGACGACATAAGAGGAAGCACGGAGCGTGGCCCGAGACGAATCCAGCGATAGTTCGGCGTACCGCGTATAGTTTTAAGCAAAAGCGCGCATGAAATGAAAACACGGATGGTAGCAAGCGGTAAGAATGAGCGGGAACGACTGCGATCGGCAGCCGGGCCAGAACGTTTCTCATGCGATCGTTTTTGCTATGGTTGACCTTTGGTCATGGAGGCTCCGGGGTCTGGACTTTATTTTCATGTATTTTGGGATTTCCGCATAATTGTTTTGAATGTACCAGAGTAGTTATGAAATGTTGATTGATAAATTATGTGTTTGAAGCCGGCACACTACTGACATTCAGAAAATGGCGACATAACCACAGCCTCTTTGGACTCGAATAGAACACTCGCATTAACAAGCAAACTGTGTCTGTTAGCAACCGTGAACGGACATGACAGCGACGATCGACGGAGCGATGACCTACCACTTCGGGGCCGGGGATGGTGTACGACTTGAAGTTGTTGTAAATCTGGACGGAACTAGTCAGTACTTGCCGCCACGCAACGCTCAGTTGCCGAGGTGTCGGACCACGTACGTTTGCAGTGTAGCCCGGGTCGGTGGCCTTGATGAAGCCCGGAATTCGGGCTGTGTTTGTGGGCGTCGTGCTGCCGCCGCCGACGACGTTGACCTGGGCGCAGCTGACATAGAACTGGGGCGTGCCGCCCGGGTTGTGGATGCCGAGCGACTGAATACGCAGCAGGTACTCGCCGTTGGGGATGCACTTGGGGATGTTGGACGTGTACGCGAGCTTCATGGGCCACGAGGCCTGGCCGCCCGAAAACGTCGGGCCCCAGTCCTGGGTCTTGAACCAGGCCCCGCTGCCGTCGTAGTCGTGGGCCGTGGTGGGCGCCTTGGACATGTAGACGGAAATGGGGCCCTGGTGGTAGACGGCGGTGTCGTACGTAAACGTAAACGGGGCGCCGGCCTGGATGTCGACCGTCGTCGTGTTGGTGCCCGTCTCGCCGCCGACGTTGCAGCGCAGATCGTTGGACGTGAGCGACGTGACCGGCGAGTTGTAGTTTGTGTTTTGGCGGATGTGCTCGTACTTGCCAAACTTGTTCGAGCCGACGGACAGCTGGATGGCAATGTAGTGGGCCGAGGCCTGGCTGACGGCCAGCGAGGCGGCAACGGCCGCAGCAAAGAAGGACTTCATAGTTGGGGGGATATTGTATTGCTGGAAGACGAGGGACGAGAGAGACGAGGAGTGCGATAGACACAAGAAAGCAGTGAACGCAGCTACCCAAGTGTCGATTTGGAAACGATGCGTATTTATCTGGGGTCGAGACATCCAGCAATATACGAGCGGTTCCTCGTCTTCCTGCTTGGACTTCGGCACCTCGGCGTCCATTCGGCTTGTATCGAGCAATTAATATCTGGAGCCCACGGTCGTCATGACCTCGTCGCATCGCTGCAGCTTCTGGTTTCGACTCTCGTCTGCCCTCCATGCATCCCACGCGCCGGCCGGGTCGCCCAATGCAGAATGTGGAGGCCCTGGCTATTTACCCAGCAAAGTAGGCGGCACACGCCCATGCATACTCTGATCGATTGCTGAGCCGCTGGCTGGGGGAGCGAATGACCCGTCCAAGAGAGTCGGGCTGGGAAGGGCAAAGGGAGAATGCGGTAAATGTGGCCCCATGGGGAGCGTAGCCTTTCAAAAGAGTGCAATATCCCAGAGCATGTGGCCCAGTCCTGGTGTCAGAGTGCCGATATTTTCTGCATGGGGTTGAGCATGTATTAATATCGCCGAGCATTGCCTTTGGGCGGCGGCGACGGCATCCAGTCACCTGAACTGGCAAAGTAGATTGCCTTGCATACAAAACCAGCACAATGCGGCATCTGAGCTAGGCAATTGTGCCCACGCCACGAGAGAGTGAGCCTGCGGACGCGGCGGTGGCGATAGTGGTGAACCGATGAACCAACGGCCGAGATGTTGACGTGGTTTGTGATGATGGACCACCGACGGTCGGCGCTTAGGGGCCTGGAAGCAACGAACTGCATGGTTTGCCTGGCATAGACGGAGGTGAGACGTGAGAGACAGCTGTAAAAGACGGCGTGGCTGTGGCCAAAAAAACAGCAGGTCATGAAAATAGAATGAAAAGGAAATACTTCCAGCGAAAAATCCTCTACACGTTCAATCGATGCAAACAAAGCATAGACGCGCCAACCTTGAAAACACCTCTTTTTTATGGCATTTTCGTGCTGTGTATCGTAAAGTAAGGTGGTTGTTGCTGACGCCACTTACAACGTCAAGCTAGCCAATGAAGGCAGGTGGCGCCCGGCCCAACGCCGTCCAGAAGGCGTTTCGCCTCCTATTGTCTGTTCCGCATCCGATATCGTCATCTCGCATGCACAAACGGCTGGTAAAACGCATCGCCTCCATCTTCTCAATCACCACCACCAGCGCCTCTATCGAAGCGCAATTTACCGTCCACTGGCCCAGACATGGCCAGCATCTCCCTCCGCCAGTCCATTGCCTGGCTGCCTGCAGGGCCCAGCGAACCCACCTCGACCGTCGTACTCACGTCGCCTCAACGCCGGTTTGTCGACGTGCGCATCCTTTTGCCGCCAGGCAGTCGGCCGTCCATGGTCGATGGCAGCTTCTCTCTTTCGGCAGCAGGGACCGCGACAGGGACCGCGGCTGCGACGTCGTCCTTGGGGCTCGACTGGGCCTTGGCCGGCACATCGTCGTCGACACCCGTGGCCGGCACCAATGGTACCGTGAGCGACGGCGTCTGGCGCCACTGGGTCGACAGTCGGTATGACGACGCGGACGCGCAAGTGGACGCAGGGCGCAACACAGAACAGGCCGATGGCAGCGTCCTGGAGACGGGGTCGATGGAGAACCCGGCGACGGGCGTGGTGGCAGCGTACGAGGAGGTGTGGCGGGACATTGACCCCGTGTCACCGTTTCCAGAACGGCCACCGCGCTGTGTGGTGCTGCAGATGCACGACCCAGAAACCAACGACCGAGGCGTCGTCGAGCTGCTGGGGCAGTTCTGCCAGGGCATTGCGCGGACGGTCCACGACGGCGTCACAGTGGAGCGGTGGCAGTGGCGGCCGACACAAGAGGGTGGCGCTGTCCCTCCGGACATTACTGGTCTTGGTGGCTCACAGGAGCCACCGTGGCAGCTGCTTTTCCGCCACGGATCGGGTTTGCTGCCGTGCGTGGCAGCCATTGCCGGCGCTGGGACACTGACATACGGCGAGATCGTGGTCTCTGGGAACAGGACGTGGACCGTGGTGGAAGCTGCAAATGTGTAGGGAAAAGGTCACAAAGTGGTGGACTGTGCAAAATCGATATTCCAATATTCAATAGGCGGATGAAAACGAACCCCTGGAACGAGAACGACGGACGGACCCAGACAAACAAAACCGGGAACGAGAGTAAAAGCACCTCAAAAGCACCTCAAAAGCACATCAAAAGCACAAACATACTCAAATAACAACAGTCGATGACGCGATGCACAACAGAAAACCGGCAACCACACAGGCAAACAAAACACCCTTCAATACTCGTCCACTTGGAAACCCTGGGCGCATTTCAGCATCTCCTCCAGCTCACCCAAGTTGCCCCAGCCCAAGGTTTGGCTGCCGCGCTGCACCAGCGCCTCCAGCTCGGCCACCGACGCACCATTCACCGTGCCGGCGGGCAAACTGCCGTCGCTGTACAGGACGCCCGCAAAAAAGGTCAGCGCAAGTGCGACCCAAGCCCCGGCGTCCTCAGCACGTGTGCTGCCCGGCGCCTGGCGGAACTCGACCGTGCCGTCGCTGTGGATCTCCTTGCTCGTAACCGACGTCTTGTACAGGCTGCAAAAATTCCACTTGAACACTTTGCCGCGCACAAAGTCGGCTGTCTTGCCTTGCGCAATGCCCCGCACGCTCCTAGCCGAACACAAGTTCATAGCCTCGTCCATCGTAAAGATGCGGCTTTCATAGCAGGCGCGCACAATGTCAAGGCACGTGTCGAGACTGGCTGCCCTGTGGTGGGCTGTCAGTGTCCTGGCCAACGCGGGATGCTTGGTTCGCTGTGCGGCTTCGCTGCCGCTGAACATGTGGCTGTCCCGGTTCGAGGCGCACCAGTGCGACCCGCCCGCGCGCCAGACCGGCATGAGCGCGTCAATGGCATGCTCGTAGTAGAGCGCCGCCTCGGCCAGGCATACCGCGTTGACCTCCGTCAGAGTCGTCCCGGCCGTCGACAGGTGCACATGAGTGCTGCACGTATCCGATTCGTGGACCGTGTAGTAGGTGTGCAGCACGTTGAAGATGGTCTGCAGGTCCGTGCTCCATGCCTGCTCTTCGGCCCTGAACACAGGCGACACGAGCTCGATGCCGTACTGGTCGCTGTCGGGGTCGACCTTGATGGTCACCTCGCGGATGATGAACCACTCCTCGTAAGTCTCAGCTGCCTTGCCATGGATGTGATTGCGGATTCCATGTTGGGCCAGGCGCCGACTGACGTCTTTGGCGAGCTCACTCCAGCTCTTGAACGGCCTTTTGCCTTCTTGATTTTCGAGCTTCAGCTCGAGCTCGACGCCGAATCGGAAAGATGTTTTGGGCATAGTAGGATATGAGGAAAGTGAATGTGAGAGTATGACGTGAAGAAGAGGCTGCTGGATGGTGCCTTCCTTCATCAATACCCTGGCGACATCGTCACGACGCTTGTCTTTATATATCGAGGCCAATATGTGTTGCCTCGTCATCTTCTTTCTCATTGAGCTCTTTCACCCCAGAGTGCACATTCGCTGACCGGGCTAGCCATCTTGAGAGATGGGCCTCCCAGTCCGTCGTTTGAGGTTTGTTCTTAGTAGATGAGCAGTGCCTTCGAAGCAACTTAGAAAGAAAGCAGCAAGGGGGAAAAAGGATCTACTCTTTTTTTAGAATTGGCCATGTTTGACTCTGTCGCCTTTGTTATCCAATCCACCTGGGATTATGGCTCTGTTCTCCGGCATAGAAATTTTCTCTGGGCGCGAGAAAGAGAAGTGCCCGCGTCGAGGGAAAAAAGAGGTAAGGACAGTAGACAGTGGCAGCCGCTTGGATAATTTTAAAACGACCATGTTGTATCCGCATCTCCATATATTGACTTCCAATATTGATTGAAAGGTGTTTGATTCGAGCAACAAAAGGAAGTCCGTGTTGAGGGCCATCCGGCCGTTTGAGTCGAGCTTGGAACATGGTCGACCAGTCTCATGAGGAAAAGATAGGTCATGAGAATCCGGAGATGTTGAAGGGCGGCCTACCCGTTCTTTCATTGATCAAGTCCTTGTTTCGACAAGGTCACAGGCCTCCTTGATGTATCAGGCACTGGCTCTTGACAGCAAGACAATGGACACATCAAGGTCTATCTATAAACACGTTAGCGTCATGAACCAGAAAAAAGAGTCGTATGAATCATCCGCGAGATACGGCGGCAAAGATACCTGGCGTGGTCGTGGGGTCGGGCGGCAGCGGCGAACAGAGCCTCAACCTGGGCTGTCTTCCATTGCAGCGCAGTCTGCTAGAACAAAAGTGGCAAGACATGCCGGCCGTCTCTCCGGACCCTCTTCCACGATATCGAGCAGTGCCAACTCCAGGTAAGAGCGGCGTAACGTGCACGCGGGCGCTTCTTATGTTAGCCATGACCAGGCAAGACTCCTCGACTGGAAGGACCAGGTTCTGGTCAGGGCAAGGAACGAAACGGGGCCTGGCCTTAGTCCTGGAAGCGGTCGCAGTTTAGCCGAACGTATATCCCCGGGCCTCCTATACGGAGGTATGCAAATGACCCTTGACTTTTTGGTCCATTTGAGTTGTATTGAGTTTCACGGAGACAACAAAAGAGAAAAAGAAGAATGGTGTACATGTGCAGGCGTTGAATTGGCGATTTGGCCACTTCGACTGCGGCCAGCATTCAAAATTAAAACATTACTAGGTGCTCTCCTGCAAGGATGACCGGTGCAAGAGTCCTGTTTATCGAATCTCAAATGCAAAATGGCATGCATGGACGTATCGCGGATCCGATGTCGATGCATGCAGCGTCTCGTCCGGCTGTAGCTCAAAATAGATGCCGTTGACAGCTGTCATCAGATCGGATTCGAAGACAGAAATCACCCAAATAGACAGGGAAGCTTGCTCGCTTGGTATTCGTGCTTATTTGGTTGACTCCTGGGATTCTTTGCTTGGCAGCCGTGGCCGTCGACGGCTGGGCTGCCTCCCTGTGCTTCAGAGTGTGTAAGTCGACCCCACAAATCGACAAGGGGACCACAAGGAGGCTCTGTAAAGAAGCATGTTGGTCTGGATGTGGGCACGGAATCTCTTGAAACAGACACTCTCGACAAGGAATCCAAAAGGGTAGCAAAACGTAAGGGTAAGGAGAAACAGTCGATGGACACCGTTGATAGTGACAAGGGCAACGACATATGTACGCGGTGATGGGATGAAAAGATCAAAGCGCAGAGTCCTTAAGCGCCCGGAAAACAATTGCGACTTGACACAAAAAGGACAAAAACAACCGCCTAGGCGCTGGGAGTCGGGACGTTGTTGAGCAGGACGTACTTGTCTGGATGCTTCACCGTAAGACACCGCACACCGTGCCCGGCCTACCCTTTCTGTCATGTTTCGTAGACCGGGAATTTGGGTTTTTTTTTTTTTTTTTTTTTCGTTTCGCCATGACAAGATTCAGACCAGGTGGTGTGTCCGTGTTGACAGGCAAAACTAGCTCCGGTATGTAGCACGGACAAACGGTTCGACGAAGCACGAATCAGGCGCAGACGACAGGGTAAAATGTGCTGGCGGGTTCGTTAGCCGCCTGTTGCCTGGGCTGAAGGACGTTTGACAAAGGTCTGTTGGACCTTTGGAGACTGGGAGAACCTGCTCTGCACTCGCTTGTTAACGAGAAGGAAATGGTAAGAAAAAGAAAAAAAACAAGACGACTCAAAATGCAAACAGAAGCTAATGATGGGATGTTGATACTCACCAAAGCCACTTACACGGTCGAAGCGTCAAATCAGAGCGGACCATTCCTTCATATCCAGGCTGAGCATGGATGCGGAATACCGTGCAGAGCGACTCGCTGCTTGATTGTACTGTGCAGTGGTGCCAGCATGTTGGCTGAGATTGGTCAATTCGATGGCGACAAAGGCACAGAGGGGAGCGATGTGGTGCTAAATTTGCAGGCACAGCGTGAGAGAAACCAGGCCTGCGGCTGTTCGCTCTTGCCCTGGCTTTTTCAGAGCGAGGTCCGCAGAACGCACCTTCGGCAGGCGGCAGTCGGGCATTGCACCAGCCAATGGGGCGAGAGGTGCGTGACGCCATCTGGAGTGCGACGTGCCGCACAGGTGCTCCACGGTTGAACACCTTGGATGCAAAGGCTGGTCTTGATTTTCGAGAGGTTGTTTGCTTGCCTTGTTTAGTTATGCAATGCATGACGGCATGGTGTGAGCCGCTTCACCGCAGGCTGCAGTCTTCAGTCTTCTCAGGTCTTCTTAGGAGACCACGCATTGATTCGGTTGCACCTTCCAGGAATGACAGCTCCACATCATTATGCATTGCGCTTTCCCTCTCTGGTCCATGATAGATCAACAGAATGCCTCGATTGTTGTAGAAGGTGCGGTGGACGCGTCAGTAGCTTTGCAAAACAGAAACGGGCCAAGTACACGGAATCGTACTGAAGCACACACGATACACGATAGGAAAACATGGAATGCACTCGCACGTATAATGAACCTATGTGAACGAGTTGCAGCAACTCGTGTGACAAATTGCACGGACGGGCGCTCCAGCTGCCAAGAACTCGCGTTCTTAATGTTTCTGTCGAATCCACGCGAGTCGCGCAGCGCCCGGAAGGTTGTCTCTGGGGCACAATAGGCCCACACAGGCTAGGGAGGAACATTTTGCTATCGCCTTTTCAGTGCCCTGTAAACAGGGACTGACAAATCGACCAAACGGCGGGGCAGATGGCCAGCCTACGGCACACCAGACAGGCGTGCTAGGGACGGCAGTATTTAGGGACCAGTGGAATCCCGCCCTAGATTGAACGGTGTATCGAAACTGCGTTCGACGACAAAATATTCCAAAGAGGCACACGCTGTCTACGACTCTCCACGACCATCTACGGCCCGTTTCATGATCCCTTTCGTCGATACACCTGAGAACTCAGCACTTCCATCCACAGGCCACGACCATGTCTGTCACTCAGATCGAGACGTTCGCCGACTTCAAGGCCCTCCTGGCCGCCAACAAGTTTGTCATAGCCGACTTCACTGCCGACTGGTGCGGCCCCTGCAAGGCCATTGCGCCCCTCTACAGCAAGCTGGCCACCGAGAACGCCATTGAGGGCGGCCTGGCTTTTGCCAAGATCAACGTCGACAACGTCCCCGACGTCGCGCAGGAGTACGCCGTGTCGGCCATGCCGACCTTCCTGTTCTTCGCCGACGGCGAGCGCGCATCGATCAACGTGGCACCGCGCAAGCCGGGCGCGACGGCCGAGTCGGAAGAGGCGGACCCAGCGGGCAAGCGGGTGGTGGACCTGATCCGGGGTGCGGACCCGCGGGCCCTGACGGCGGCGGCGTCGCGGCTCGGCGAGGCGGCACGCGCGGCGAAGGAGTAAAATCGAAACCTCCACGATCAATCTGTAACATACCACAAAAGAGGACGCATGTGCCTTTGGAGGGCGACAATGGAATACCACAGGAGTTGTGAGGGCACGTCCGGGATAGCACTACCCGCATTTCTATTACCGTCAAATGAGCAAATGAGATTGTTATTCACGCAATACTTCGTGGTATCGAGTGACAAAATGTGCTGACAATGGCGGCTGTGTGTATCCAAAAAGAAGAGTATGTAGTCGCAGTAGAAACAAAACATGGCAATCAGATGCTCCTCCAGTTTTGGTGTCCAATCCCGCATGCCGGCGCCAGACTCCAATCTCATAAACACAAATGTGAAGTAGCAAAAATATAGCCAAAACAAAATGTGCCAAAAATATGTACAACATAACCTACTTACTTCTTCCCCCCGTCTAGTAACTTGCCGCACCGACTGCACTCCAGCTGCTGCACGCCGTTCACCCGCCGCGCCTTAAACTCCCGTCCGCCGCACTTGGTGCACCTCATTTCGACACCTTCGTCGCCATGCTCGCCGTCCATGTCGCTGGCGCCGTCTGTGCTCGTCATCTCAGAGCTCAGCCGACTGACAATCGAGCCTGCGCGCCTCCCATAAGGGCTGTGCGACCGCGAGCCTGGGATGAGCAAGTTGTTGTTGTTGTAATGGGGATGGTCCATGTCATCGTGAGGTTCACCGTCGCCGTCGTCAGAGGCGATCGCAATGGACGGCGAGAGGAGGGAACGTCCGGTACTGGATTTTTGGCGGGTTTGCGATGCACGGATGGCTGCCGCCGCCGAGGAAGACCCATCGTTCGCCGCCGCAGCAGCGCTCGCCTGTGTCTCCGATTTTGACAGCGGTGACTTGGGCAAGAGGTTAACACCCAGGGAGCGTCGGCGCGTATGGGCCGTTTTGCTCTCACCGCCGTGTTCGCTGCCCTTGTCGCTGCTGTGCGTCGAGTCGACAGGGCTGGGTGGCTCGACAGCGTTGTTGGAGCTCGAGCCACCACTGATGAGCGACGTGCGCAAACCGGAAATACCCCTCCACCGGCTGAGGTTCCAGAAGCCAAAGCTGGCGCCCGCCTGGTCGAGCCGCAGCGCTCCGTCGTCCGCCCGGTATGCCATGGACGGCTGCGGTGTTGACCCGGCAGAGTCCAGGTTGCTTTCGGACATGTCGTCTTGTTCGAGATCATGGCCATCCTTTGGCTCCTGAATCTGAACTTCGGTTGGCACTGGTGCACTCTCCGTCGTTTCGTCGCTTGGCCGCGAGGTGGCAGAATCAATGGCCAAGCTGTCACGATTCGATGACGCTGCTTGACTCGATGAGGCAACCGTCCCCTTCATCAGTGCTGTCGACGCATTCTCGCCTGCTGGCGGAAGGACGGGCTTCGCAGGCTGCCGCGAGGTTGCCGCAAATGTGGTAGATGTCGGACTTATTGCCGAATTGGCCAAACCACTGCGACCGGCTTGGTTGGGAGCAAAATGGGGTGAGAGAGGCGAGCTTGTAGCTGTCGCATAGGGCTGTCTGCGGGCATCACTAGCGAGGCCACTTGAGGCGCCCAAAGGTGTCCTTGACGACTTGTTGGGCGAGATGGAGCGCTCACTTCGCACGGACGCGATTCCGCTGCCAACAAGCGAACTCGGTCGACTGCCACCGCCCTCTATGTCGTGTCGCCAGCGGTTGATGCTGTCCGGGTGGCCGCCAATCTGTGTAGAGTTGCCTGCCAGGTGTGACGGCAATGAGAGCGACCCGCGGCGCGAATGGGCGGCGCTGCTGGCACTGGTGCGCGTAATGATGCTTCCGCTGCGGCCGACCAGACGCGAGCTCGTGCCCAGTTTCTGGCCGAAAGACCCAGTCTCCCAGCTTTCGTGCTTTCGTTTCTTAGCGGCACAGTCCTGGCGGAAGACCTTGATGATACCTGTATCGCCGCCCGTGACAATAATGTTTCCGTCGTAGTGAGTCGAGCGAGCAATGTAGGCGGGTGACTCTTCGGGCCGGGCCCGCGGCGGGTGAGGAGGGTTCGTGGGCTGTGTAACATCTGTACCGTCCTCGTTGTGGTTGAGCGTGTTGTTGGACATGCCCGACTGCGACGCCAGTGTCTCTTCGAGGGACATGAGCGTGATTGGTGGCGGGTTGCACAAATCGTAGACTGGGTCACCCGACCCGCCTAACAGCTGCCGAGTCTGGACTGGCGCAAAGATGGCCGTGGTTACCATGTCGCTGTGGGCATCGAATGTCTCACAGGGGTACCGGTCCTTGGTGATGGCATCGCTGGACGACGCACTCCAAATAAAGACTTTCTTGGACTCGCTGCCGCAGATGACGTACTTGCCATCGTCGCTAAAGCTGGCGGAGAGCTGGGCACTGGCGTGCTCATGACCCTTGAATTTGCAGTCCAGCATCTTATCGCGCAAGTGGTAGAGGCGAACACGGGCGTCGGTCGAGGTCACCAGGATGGCAGCATCGCCGGGCCGAGAGTTGGGCAGAAGCATCGGGACAATGCCAGTAATCTTGCTGCCCTTTGCATTGCGGCCACGTGATGAGCGGACGTGGATTTGTGTGAGTGGTTTCAGTCCTTCCGTCTCGAGAAGGTAGCAAAAACCGCTGAGTAGACCCGCAATGGCCATCTTGCCGTCAGGCGAAAAGGCCACAGCTGTGATCATATCGGACATTTGCGCGGAGAAGGCAACGGATTTGTCGGGGATGCTCCACAGGCGCAGAGTGGCGTCGAGACAGCCTGCAAGGAAGAACCGGTCGTCTTTGGGGTGGAATGTGACCTTGCTGACAAGCTCCTTGTGTTTGAAGGTGCACAGGCACTCCTCACGGCTGGTGTGCCAAAGACGGACGGTCTTGTCCATGGATGTTGACAACAAAAAGTTGTTTTTGCTCCAGCTCAAGTCGAGAATCTCGCCGGTATGGCCGTTGAACTCCTGCACGGGCTTTTCCAAGAAAACGGGCGCGCTAAGCCGTTCGTTGGTGCCGTCGCTCTTGGCCTCTTCTTCCTCCTGGGACCGACGGTCCTCGGCAGTCGAGATGACCTTCCAGACGCGGACGACGTGGTCGCGGCCGCCTGCGGCAAGGTACTGGCCGTCTTTGCTGAACTCGGTCGCCCAGACAGCGCCGCCGGTGGCCGTTTTCTTGCGGCCGTGGCCGGATGTCGTTACCGTTACGACAGGGTTGCGGCTGTCAGTTTGTGATTCCAGAGGCCGTGTGCCAATTAGCTCTTGAGCGAGAAACATCTTGTCGAACTCCTTGACCTTTTTATTGTGTAACTTGACGCGGATGTAGCGAGGCGGCTCCTTGTGGTGTGGGAGGAAGCCGGCCGAGTCAACAACGGACGAGAAGACGAGGGCATTGGAGCCCTCGTCGCGCGGCTCGCCCGCTTCAGAGGCTTGGTCGCTCGCATCCTCCTTCCTCCTACCTGCCCGCATGCTCAGTCGGCCGAGAAATCCTTTTCTGGTTGATGTTAGACACGAGAAATCGGGGCAAGTTACATGCGCAATGTACAAAGACGGAACGTGCATACTTCTTTTCTTTCCCTACATCGGCGCCCGGAAAAGGGAAGCGCTGGGATATATCAGCGGTGGGAGACGATGCATCTGGGCCAGAACTGTCGGGTCCTGTGGTATAGGACCGAAGTTTCGGATTCCGGGACTGGTCCGTGTTGGTGCGAAGGAAGATATGCTGTCGTGCGTATCCACGCATTAGCTAAGTTTCCATTTGATGTCCGTTTCACGGGATGCCAAGTATATAAGCACAAGGCCACGTCACGTGGGATATAAATATCCGGGCCCATTCAGTGAAGAAGAAGCAAGGGTGAGTTAGGCATAGCTTATTGCGGGCCTTTCTTTTGACTCAACAGGGCAACCTTACTTGAGAGAGGGGGTCGATGGACGACGTGTTCACAGAGGCGCTGCTCGACTGGACGGAAGCTGCCGTCGCAGCCGGTTGCTGCTGCGGTTGCTGTGGTTGAGGGGAGGTTTGCTCCGGGTTAGCTCCTCTGACAGGGGCGAGGGCAGATGGTCCCCGCGAGAGTCTGGGCGCTTTGCGAGTAGCTACCGTGGGCTGTGTGGATGCGGCGGAGACGGCGGTGGGCGAGGGCGTGGCAGGCTGTGCTATTGTCGACGTTAGTGGCATTTTGGAACAAGTCGACCCCAGGCAGCAGCATTTCTGTTCTGTTTTGTTGTGTCTCGTATGTCTCCCATGTGGCTTGCCCGCTTCACTTTTCGTATCCGACCCTAAGAGGAAAAAGGCCTGTGCGTCCTGAATTTTTGCGCCCGGCGCAAGACAGGAGGACCTCCGTGCCGAACGCGTATGCGGACCCCACTTAGGGCGAAGCCGAGCTCAGGCATGCCGAGACATCAAGCCAGGACATGATATCTATGCGATGGGCAGATGTAAAATACGCAGTACTCGTGTAATACGCAGAACAGGGAAATTGAGACTGCCCAAGTGGAGACGGTGTATTTGGATGGTAGGGGACCAAAATAGAAACCGAAGAACGTCAACGTGGTAGTTGCTGCGGGGAGGAAGAAAAGAGTGTTAAGAATTGGACGGCTGAGATTGGACAATTAAGAACGACAAGTGCGAGATCGCGGGTCGACAAGAAAGAGGCAAAACGTGGGGAATCCAACACGAGCGAACAAGAGGGACGACATGTCAGGCCAGGAACGACATGTACAAAAACGGATACGTAACGCGGGAAGACAACCCGGAACGTGGAACCGACAAAAAAGATAAAAAGATAAAAAAAAAAAAAACAGAGAAAGAAACATAAAACGGCAGCCTAGAGTGTGGCTGTGGTTTATGCTTAAAATGGGACGAGGCCGCTCGATGTTGAACGACGGAAATAGAAGTACCACAAGTCTTCTTGGATGACAGGTGGAGAGAATACTCGAGACACTAGAGACTAAAGTGTAAAAACAGCCAGACCGCGAGGAGCACATTCCCGTGTTGATAACTTTTTAAAGCTGCTTGTCTCCCCAACATAGAAACGAAGAAAAAACAACGTACATTGATCATTGGTCGACGTCGGCGTCTTTGGTAAGCTGGTGGCCTTTCCAGACAAGGCTGCAGCCGGAGGAGCAGAAATGCTACTGGCGTTCTTGTTTGCGGTAGTGGCGCTGTTGCCGTTTCGAAAAGGCACGTCGTCCCGATCTTGGGGGCGGTCCTGGCCGCCCTTTGTGGCTCCGAGAAGGGCGGCCATTCTGAAGGCGGGTTTGGGTGAAGTCAAGGAGTATATATATATGCCGCACGATGTGCGATATGCGTTATACTCTCTATGTTACAGAGGCTGAACGTAATGTTCATGTGCGGCCTGCTGCGAGGCGTATATCGATCCGAGTGATCCGCCAAAGGATATGTGGCTTTTGTCGTTGCTTAGCCCCACTGCATTCGGGTCTGCTTTCCTGGGGGGTTCTTCTTGGTTGTGTTGTGGAGGACGAATCGAATTTGGATGCGAGCGAGGGGAAGGCAATCGCAGCTGAAAGAGCCGAAAGTGCGTGGATGGAGATAAAGCAAAGCAGTGGCGGGCGATACAAGCAACGGGAAGCACAAGCCAACAGTTGGTATGAAAAGTATGGGAAAACCGAGGTACGGGACACTCGATCACGGCACACCAAGTGCGATGCCGACAGGGGGAACTTCGTGTCTCGTAAAACGATCGGCCATAAAAATTCCAAAAAAAAAGAGCGGCAGAGAAGGGAGTACGAGAAGACGGACAGCTCGGGGTCGTGGGATAGGCGGTGGGCGAGGCGAAATTCGAGAGGCAGCAAAAGCTTGAGGGCCTTGTGCGACGAGTCGTGACAGCGGCGAAGAAGATGGGACAGCGCTGAGAGCTGGTGGGCGGTCGGAAGGTCGGACGGTCAAACGGTCAGACGGTCAGAAAAGCTGTCTAGCCATCTAATAAAGGCTTCGCCGAGTGGGGGTGAGACTGCCATCAGAGTGCCGTAACGGCAGGGTCAGCGTTGCTTGCTCACGGCGCAGCGTCGAGCTACAGGACAGGAGCTTGTCGCAAAGTCAACGAGTAAGACGGCAGAGGTGTCGTGGCGGTGGCTAAGCTTGGACTGGAGCTCACACTCCGTCGGGGAAGAAGAAAACTCGCAGTACTTTGCAGAGGCCAGAGCAGGAGAGGAGCTTGGTTGGGTGCTCGGAGCTAGAAGGAAACAGAAGGAGATGCAGTTGGGCTGCATGTGCATAAGGCGGCCGGGGGGCTGTTCAGTTTTTGGCTGTGTGCGGGGGTAAACTTGAAGAAACTCTGGCGGCGTGGCGATGCGATGCAACTCTGGGTTTAGTAAGAGTGCGAACTGGGTGGAAATGTCTGGAGCAGGACGGAAACGACTACGGAACGAGAAAGCAACAAAGAGGGCAAAAGAGGAAGGAAGAGACCAGACGAACCAAAATCGGGCAGGCGTACGATCCACACAATCAGGTTCACTATACCTAAGCTAGATAAGGGAGATCTATTGCGATGGGGAGGCCAGAGGAAGGTACGATTCAGACATAATTACGGAGCGTACGATCTACGTGGAACGCCGAGGCGGTTCCTGCCAGAACAAGTCCATTGAGGTCTTTCGCGAAAAGGCAAGCGCAACTGGCCGGCTCAACAGGGAACTGGCCTGGTCAGGTCCAGGACAGGTGCTGGCTCCGAGCTTGCCGTCGTCCCTTCCGCATTGGGCGTTAGCCTGACTCGGCGGCTTACTTTGCGCCAGGCGGCCCTGGAACGCGTTGGAAATGGACCTGATTAACTTAATGATTGTCACTGTTGCTATTGGGCTAAAGGTATCTTGTAATTAATTTGAATCGAGACTGCGGATGGAAGGTGCGGGCGTGCTTTCAGACAGACGAGAGAGCAAGTATGGACCTGACAACGCCGGCAGAATAAAGTACACAACGTCATTGAGCATTGGAGAGGAGACGTTTGGCAAGGATCGAGCTTGAAAGAGCTTGCAAGAGCTTGCTAGGGCATATTCCGTGGGATCCGAAGCAGCGGGAGCCCTGTATCTCTTGGTGTGGGGCAGGCAACGCCAAATGCGCCACGCAAACAAGGCAGTGCCCATTGACGCCACACGGTCAAGGCAGCATCAGGTGACGGGCATGATTTCAGCACGCTGCATTTGCGTCAGAAAAAGACGGAAGGGACGTTGAACACTTGTCCGTTTAAATACAATTGCTTTTCTTTACGCGGTTACGGACGGCAAGTGTGACAGAGGACACTGGTTTCCAGATGCGCCACGCACTCTGTGAGAAGGTCTTTTAACAAAAATGACGTAACATTCGGTGAATATCTGGTGTCCTTTTAACTGGCTAGTTACATAACCCGGTGGCAGTTTACGGTAATTTTAATATTCAATAATACAAATTCAAGAAGGGTGCAGGGAGGAGGACAACCCGGGAAAGACAATAGGATACGTCGTAATTTAATATACTTGTGCTTGTTTTTAAAGAATACGTGTAGAATTATACGCCGTAAGTGAGTACTATTATAAGTGATTATAGGATAGGTCTTCACAATAGATTAGTTGATGAAAAGCATTGGTTTCGAGGGCGAAGGTAGGTGTGTATTATAACAAAGACTAATTCTTACCCCTTCTTCCCGGTGAGAAGAAGGGAGTCCTCTTATTTAAGGAGAAAAGGTTTTTTATTAACGTAACGTTAACGTGTGGTTAAGGACCCGTTATACTACGTTTTATTATATAAGTTTAGTTATTTAATTCGTAGTTTTCGGTTACGAATCGGTTATAATAATTATCCTTTCTTTTCGATAAATTAAACTTTAGTTTTTTTTACGACTTTTTTTAATCTTTTTACTTTTACTCGAGTAAAAAGTATCGGAAGTTATAATTAATCCTTTAATTATATACGACGGTTTATTAATTCGTATACGAGTTACCTTATAATCTTTTATATTATATAATAGTCCGGTCTATTAATTACCGACGTAATATAAGGTTTAAAAGTATTAAACGTATTTAAATTATTTATCGTTAAACGTTAATATTTAAATAAATATTCTCGTTTTCGGTTAAATATTATTTAACGTCGTCGTTTTTATAAAGTATATTAATAATTATATAGTAAATAAGTAACGACGAGTATTTATAGGTTATTTTTACTCGAAACGTTTATTCGTAAATATCGTTCTTTTTATAAACGTTATTTACTTTTATTTTTTTTTTTTATACGTAAGTATAAAACTAGTTACTCGGTTAAGTCTTTATTATAACTTACTTTTACTTTTTTTACTCTTTACTTACTTTTAACTTAACGAACGTTTTTTAAGTAAATTATTTTTTACTCGTAAAAAAATCGTAACTCGTTTTCTTTCCCTTTTTCTTTTAATACTTTATAATATTATCGATTATTTATTATTTATAAGTCGTTAATTAAGTTTTTTTAATAACTTTTTTTTATTTATTAATATATCGTAGTTTATTCGTTTAAAAGTCGTTTTTAATTAAATTATTCTTTATTATATCTTTCGAAATACTTAAACGTTATAAATACGACGAAAATAAGTCTTTAAACGATATTATAATAAGAATTTCGTAGTCTTTCCTTTTTATTTCCCCGTTTATACGTAATAACGTAAGTAATTCGAGTTTAACCGTTTAACGTTTATCGACCGTATTAAACTATACGTTTATTCGACGTATTATAGACTCGTTTCGTCGTTCGTTTACCTTTTTTTATATTAATTAACTCGTAATATCGAAAGTTAAAAAACGTGTCCGTATTCGTATCGTCGTTTAACGTATCGACGTTAATTCGTTTATAAGTCGTTTAATAATCGTTAAACCTTTTTAACCTTAGTTTAATATATTACGGTTTATTTAATAAGTAGTTTTACCGTTCGTAAAAAAATTTTAACTACGTTCGTTCTTTTCGGGTTTATCGTTTAATTCGTTTATAATTCCGTTTATTTTACCTTTTAAGGTTACTTTCTTTACGTCTCGTCTTTAAGTTGTAAACCTTTTAAACTCGAACCGTTTTTAACCGTTTAATAACCTTACGTTTTATAACGTAGTTACGGACCTTTCGAGTATTAATCGTCCTCGACCCGTTATAACTCCCGTTACTTTTACGACTCGACCGTATATTATTAACGATACTACTCCCGTTTCTTTTATAATATAAACCTCGTCCGTAACTTTTTAACGTTTTATTCGTAAAACGTCGGACTGTAATACTTTTAACGATATATATTTAAGTAAAGATAGTAATATAATAAATAATAAATCCGACGACGAGTCGTTAAAGATTTAAAATAACGACGACTCCGAGTCGAAGTTTATTACCGACCTTTAAGTTTATATATATATTACTTATTTTTTTAATATAATTAATAACCTTTAAAACGTTAACTTTTATTAAACTTTACGTTATATATACGAAGTAACGACGAGATATTAATAATATAAAACTTATTATTATTTTTATAAAAAGGTTTTTACGTTACTTATAAGAAACGTTTATACCGTTTTTTACGTTATTATTAAAGTAATCGACCTTTTATTAAAGTCGAACGAAGAAACGTTTTTAACTTTATTATATATCGTAAACGAATTTATACACCGGTTAATAGTATTCGTACGGGGTTATAAAAAAGCCTACCGGTTAATTACTAACTTTAATAAAACGGTAAGTCGAACCGTTTATAAAAGAATCGTAATAAAGTCGTAAGTTATTTACGATTATATCCTTTTTATTATTAATAATAATAAGTCGAACCTTGAACGGTTTTACTTACGACTCGGGTCCGGGGATCCTTTATATTAAAAGTGGTTAAAGGATCGTCGTATTTTTTTTAACTTAATCGGTCGGAACGTAACCGAGAAAAGCCTCTCTTTCGTTTACGTAAAACGTTATAAACGTCGTTTTAACCCTTTTTCTTTTTAAAACGTTTTCGTCGTATATTATTCGTTTATTTTTATTAAGTCGTATTAAATATTAATAATAACTTTTTTTTTTTTTTTCGGGTTAAACGTTATAAGTACGTAACTAAGTCGTTTACGTACCGAGTCGTTTTTATATTCTTTTAATTAAATAAACGTCTTTAATATATAACGTTTATATATTATTATAAAGTTATTATTTAAATCTTTTTTTACTAAGTAAACGTTTTTAACGTACACCGTACTTACGTTTTACCGTAAAGTCGTTAACCGAATTTAAATAATAATTTTATAAATCTACTTTTTTTTTCGT